AGGACCACGCGCTTGCCTCCACTTACTGATATTGCCTTGCATTTCATGATGTCCCCGTACAATATGTATATTAGTGATCTATCAAACTCTCAAATATCTGTCATTGTCATTTCACCTAACGATGATTTTTCCTGTCTCATTTCCATTCCCATTTCCCTCTTTCAATTTCACATTTATTTCAGTTATGATCAGAGAATAAAGGAATAAAATAGAATTTAAAAAGTTTAGTTTACATTATGAATTTTTTTAATCCTAGTGTAAATCTTTTATCTTTTTTATGACTTACATTTAGATTTTTTATCTTTTTACTTAAAAAGATAAAATGTTTTATTCTTTAATACATAAGTTATCCTTTAAAATATAATATAGTTATTTTTTTTGTTTTTTTTATAAATCATAGGTATTGTTGGCAGAATAGTTCTAGATTAGATTTATAGATGGCATAACCTTTGGTAAAGTGTTATTCAATTAATATGAATATTGATTATGGTTTGATAATGGAACTACTGCACTAAATTCTGTAAAGAATGTTGAGAATTCTTCAAAAAATCCTGCCATACAATCATTTTAGATCAGAAGGAAATATGAAAAAAAAAAATGATATGAAAAGCTATTTTAATAGGAAACAATAAATGTATGGTAAAATTTTATATGTATATGTATCAAATTACCAATAATTAATCAATTAAACGGTAGGAATAGAGTGATTAAGGAAATTTGAATAAATTTCATTCATATAGTAAGGAATATTCGACTACAGTAAATTGCTCATTAATGGTAATCATTTAAACTCATAGAACTTAACAATTTTCTTCTCTAATTTCTTCCTCTTCTTTTTCCTTTTGAATTATGTTCTTTTTTTAAAAAAAAAAGAACACTTTCATGTTGTATCATTCCTAACTAGCAAAATTTGAGAGAAAAAAGAGCAAGGAGGAGGAGAAAAAACTTAACGTCTGGAATATTACTTTTACTCATTTTAGCATATATTTTTTTTGTTTGTTTTATAAATATTTTAAAATCTCAAAATTTTTAAGCTGTATGAAAAATGATGTGCAAAGTGTATTTTAGAATATTTGTTGATTTTAATGTGGTTATTATGCTGATACCATGGACTTATTTGTTGAACGAGATTGGCAAATTGGAGCCCCTGTATAGGATGCGTGCATGCATGCATGTATGTTGTGTGTGTGTGTGTGTGTATGTATGTGTGTACGTGCGAATAAGTGTATGTGGTGGTTTACCCGCTGAATTATGGGCTGACTTTACATTATTTCTGCACAAATCTGTATGTGCTACTGCTGAAGAGTATTTGTCCAATCTTTTTTTCCCTCTCAATAGGTGGGAGAAAAAAAAGAGGGAAGGTAGTAGGTCAAAGGTCAGTACTGATGCCCCCAATATCCCTTCTTTCACTCATATGAACATTTTCCAATGATAGCAATAATTATCAACATTTTCTGGCATATCTGAAATATTTCTTAAATTCATCTTTTTACCATTATTTTTGTTGAATAATATAATGTCTTAGAATAATTTATAAGATTCTTGGACTACATTTACTGGATTGAATATTCGCTGGATAGAAAATTATCATCATTTATATTATAAAAAAAAAAATCCAATTGATAGATTGAAAATGTTAAATGTCATTGCAAAGGACGTCTCGCTTTCACCGGTGACCTTGGTTTGTTATGTTTAGTACTAAGGCACGCGGTGAATGCCAAACGTTCTCTTGCTATACCTTATTTTTATATTGTGAATTATTTTCCCAATTCCACCTATATCCAACCCAATCAATAATCGATTCAAAGCGAAATAATTTGATTTATTCCAGAAAAAAAAGAAAAGGTTTGCTTTATCTTTTGTTTTCTTTTGAAATTATTTCGACTCTATACGAATTATTTCGACTAATGAATTGCTATTAAAAAGAAGGTAACTGATAAAACTCTTGTCATTTATTATTTAAATTTGCATTTAAGAGACTGGAATGATTATATGAAACAATTTTAAAAAAAAGGGTGAACAAAAGGAAAAATAGAGCAAGAAGCCAAGAGAGTTACAATTTAGCGTTAAAATTTACAAATAAAATGCTATGTATTTATGAAGTATAACTTTATCATGTAGTCTAAGTGGAGAAAAAATTGCCAAACAGCAAATGCTTGGTCTTAAAAGGGAGAGAAAGAAAAAAAGCAAAATTGGAGCAGATCTTATAAAATTTTAATTTTAAAGGATGTGAAACAAACGAAAAAAGAAAACAAATATTGGTTGCAAATATAATTTTAGCAAAAGCATATAATTATAAATTTCGTTGTTAAAAAATATTACATACACACATAAAAAAAAGAAAACAGAGGCGAAAATAGCCTAGATGTATTATTTAGCTTAATATTGTAGGCGAAAAAAATTTAAGCGATAAATAATGAAGGCGAAAAGCATTTTCGCGTAAGTACATGCCTTTTTTTTTTCATTTCCTTTTTACAATTTTAAATTAAATGAAACAACATTTAATCTAAATTTCTCTAATCAGATTCAAATTCTTGATTGGTTTAACTTCTGATTTGAAAAGAGGGAAAGAGGAGACATTTTTTTCCTTCTTTTTTAGTCTTTTATCTAACAAATATTTTTCATTTCTTTCATATTATTTAACTTGATAAATAGTTTAATTACTGTGAATAGTGCAAAATGTTTTTTTCAGTTTTGGGATATTTACTGAGAATTTTTTTATTGAAATTTGCCATATACTAAATAATTATATTCCCTTTCTTTTTTCTCCCATTAAGTATTTATAATTTTTGAACATATCAGGCGGAATTAGAGAATTCATTTTTATTTTGTCCATTCAATTTCATAGAATATTACACATATATACACGTATATATTTGAAAACTTTAACTCAACCTGATGGATGGAAATGCTGCTATATATCTTGAAGTAATTTGAAAAAGATATATCAGTGATCCATTAATTCACGCAAATTACAAATTGAATTAAATGTTGACAGACGGATTTAAAAAATGTGACTTTTTAAAATATAAAGAATTTAAAATTGTCAACAGTAGTAGAAACCTTGAAACTATTGCAACTGTTTTTGTGTATACGTATACACTGATGATAATTTTACGTACAATTCCAAACACTCGGGCGTTTTTTTCGTTTTTTTTTTTTTTTTTTTTTTTTACTAAACTTTTCAAAATTATCATTAAATATTTCAGATAAGAACTCCCGACAACTTTCTTTTCTTAAGTGTGCTCAGATAAAATATAATCATATCATAAGTGAGCAACTTATATAACATCGGGATATTACAACGGTTTTATCTGTCTTGAAATATTTGTTTTATGAATAAATAATCCCGTCTAAACTGAACATTAGTGGTAACAAATTCAGAAAAAAAATCACTAAAATATGGTTAAATAATTATAAAATTTGTGAAACCACAAGAAAAAAATGAAGAAAAAACTTTTCACTTTCTATTTAATCTAATGTTGTCGTAAAATTTTACATCGAGAAAACGATCATTTAATTACACTTTGGAAAGTTTTGCACATCTTTGTGCATTTCAATTAATTCAAACTATTACATTTCTAGAATTATTTAAATGAGTAGAAATGTTAAATTGAACTAAAAATCTTGGAATTGCAATTATGAATGTAAAAACAAAATGAGAAATTTTTCAATCAAAAATATAACATGAATTCTACACATAACATATATATTAATATTTGCAAAATATTCCAATAAATAATTTGATGATAATGTTTTGTTGTGTATGGCTTATAAGGAGGAGTAATAAGGATTAAGAAAATGAAAAAAATTTAATCAATCCTATAACACCTGCTTATTGTCGGAGAAGCATGAAATGCAAAATCGTTATATAACCAAAAAAAAGCAATAGGATGACATATGTGACCCAGACTGAATGGTCACATGGCTTATCCATACTAAAATCAATAATTGTCAAATGTAAATGCATTCCCACATCATTGACACTTCTAAAGCTTAGAAGAATAAATTGAAATGTCATTTCTTTGAAATTTCCACCTGTTGTTTTCATCAATGCTAATAATAAAATTTACTGGAGAATTAAAATTTTGAAATAGGATTTTAATTTTAGAAATACAAAATGATAGGTGAAAGATGAAGTTCCAATACATAAATGCTAGAGATATTCACATCAGTTAGAAAAATTTTACGATGAGTTAAAGAGATTTTTTTGCTTTTTTTTTAAAATCTTACATATTAATATGAATCGATTGTCGGCATATCAAACAAGAGAATCTTAAATGTCATTTTTTATCCAGTTACCAAATTTAATCCAATTTTAATCTCAAAAGAAAAAGCTGTTACGATTTAGAGTTATCTAATTCTAACTGACAATTATACGGTATTACATTTTGAAGTTAATTGAAGCTTCTGAAATGATAATATCAAAGCGTTTTTCGCTTTGCATGCAGTGGAGGGTGGGATTTCGTGCTACCCCCTTTCTTTTATGGATGACTGCTGTTGAAAAAGGAGTCCACAAGACTTCTAGATATTGATTAAATTTGCAGACACTAATATGAAATTGCCATTTGTCTATGCATTAATTTCAAAAGTATGATAAGCCTGTCGTAGAAAGAGGGAAAGCCGGACAAGCTTCAGAAACAAGATTGAGTTAAGCGTATAGGCAAAAAAGTATCCTATTTCCCAGGGAACCTAAAAGACGAGTTTTTTGTATCCATAGCGACATATATATAGCTGCTAAGCCTTTGAGTTAGCACTAAAAAAAATGTAAGTACCATGCAACTTAATCAGATTAATATAAATTAAGCATTGGAACCGTTTGAATGATGCAGGTAAGGTCAAGTAATTCTCTTCTCCAAGTTTTAAGTTACGAAGAAAAAAAATTGGGATTTCTCAAATATTTTGTAAAACAATGCAGCAAAAATTATTATTCTGCAAAAAAAGAAAAGAAGAAACATAAACAGCCTAATGTACATCACGCGAAAAAGCCACATCAGATCCTATGGTTTGACTTTTCTCTCTTCGTCAGGATTCTTATTTGATGGCTGCGGCATTCGCTTTGGTATCACTTCTGCCTAAAAATTATTTTGCATGTCATATCAATCAGGCAACCCACCAGAAGCTGATATATTTTAAGCTATCTATGTTTTATAACTAACAATGTCACTAAATTATTCTGTATAACGCGCTAGCCAGGCTGTCTAGTCACATTTTAAAAAAAAGGTGCTCGGCATGCAATTGTATCATTAATAGTAGAGAGATTATAATAAATGTTCAAACAGTTAGTATGTTTAAATAAAAAAATATTAATATTTAAAATAAAGACTAATCATTCTTTATGGACTATAATCGCATAGGAACAAAACTGAATACCTCTATATCACAATAAGAATATTTTTGGAAGTTAAAGTAATCGGAACATTTGTACTCTTCCGAATTTACTTTCTTCTTCATTCCAATCTGAAACAAAATTCGAATAAACAACCACTAATGACTACTAGTTTGCTCAGAAAGATATAACTACGCATATTTTACAAATCTGCAACGTCATCATCCTATCCGTTTAAATAATACCCTTGCTATTTTGCAATTGCAAATTAAAAATGCAAAGATACTTTAGAACATAAATACATAATGAAACTTGAAAATATTCCATTATCATCCAACTTTCTACTTTTTTAAATTTATTAAATCAATGCTTAATAATTCCATTATCACTTAGCTTCAAATAGGAACATTAATGCAATTGATAATTTGCCATTTTTATCATACGTATCAAAATTTACTATGAATCGAAAAACGTATATTTTGGAATCAATTCAAGTTAACTATTTGGCGTTAAATTTAAATTATATTTTTCCAATTATTAATCAACAATTTAATTTAATGAACCAAAAATTTAGTTATGTGAGACACAAAGAATGACAGAACTCTGTAAAAATATTAACTGTATGACATGAAAATTTTCATTAAACTAAACAAAAATCATAACCTCTTTCATCGTCTTCGCATGTTCTATCCCAGTAGAATACAATGTTCTTATCAAGTTACTTATAATTAACGTGCGTGAACGCACGCGTACGCCAACTGACCAAATACCTTTCAACATAATCTGAAATAAAATCGAATAGCAAAACAAACACAACATTACGAAAAACTTGAAATGATTGTTCAATTTAGCAGCTCATCCCTCATCCCTCATCATTCACCCTTCTCTCTCCGTCCCTTTTCCCCTCTCCCCCTCCCTTCATCTCCTTTTCCCTCTCTTCTTATCTTTAAGTCGTTTAAAAACAACGGACCACAAAATTGATCGTTGAATTTTGCGCCAGTTATTAAACAACTAAGTGCTGAAATTTCCAGGCGATTTATTTGCGGTGGTCTTTGTTCCTTGCAGTTAATTAATCTAATTAGTTGGAAGTAGTAATACATGAATATGGAATAAAAAGAAAAAAAAAGTGATAAGAGAAAGGTGGAAAGAGAAAAAAAAGGAACTAACGATTATAACCTTAAAAAATAAGTGAAAAGATTGAAAAAATGAGAAGATGGAGATATTATGATCCATAAAGGATGGTGTGGTAATTTTTTTTTTTTTTTTGAGAATTGTAATTGTTAGTATCGTAGTGTTATGTTTACAGGTAAGAAGTAGAAGAAATATCGGAAACTAATGGGAAATTTAAAAGTATTGCTAAAACAAATGTTGTGAGCATTCTAGTTTATTATTTCTGTAATATTGCTATTGTCAAGTTTTTTTTCTTTTTTCTGGTCCATGCATGTAATACATACATTTGGTAGGGTTATAGGATAATATGATTTAGGTGGTGGGAAGGTAGTAGGGGGAAGGGGAGGGGGAGAGGAAGAGAAAAAAGATTATGTTTTAATTCCGGAATGGGTTTTTTTTTCACACTTATATTCTGGAACTTTTTTCTCTTGTATTCTTTCCGAATTGAAATGAATTAACTTAGTGGAATGAATTATGAATTAGTAGATTAAAATCGAATGAATTATGAATTAGTAGATTAAAATCCTTCTACTCTTTCATTTCTTTTCATTCGATTAGATTTTACTAAGTCCAGTTTCTTTTTTATATTTTTCCATTTCAGGTTATTTTTCTCTAACAAAAAATTTTATGGTATATTTCGAAGGAGGTTCGTCGAAGTTCGTATGTTAACAATAATCATACTGTAGACACTAGAATGGGTCGTTATTTCCTGGAACATCTTGGCGGTCGTCGAATTTTTTCGTGTGATAGCTGTAAAGCCTTTCTGACAAATGAGGATGAACTGATCTCGAAGCATTTTACTGGTAAAAGTTGAACGTGAAGTACATCATAATCTTAGCATGAACCACATAGTACATGAACGTCACTTTAATCATCATCAAGAAGGTTATTCATCACCGAGCTATTGTGTAGCTAGTTCAGAAAAATAAGATATGCCTGTATATGGCTCATAAATGCAATGAAGGTTCTTCTTCTTGTTTAAAGTCTAAGCTATAGACCAGTTGTAGGGTAACTATTGTTTCGTAATTTTTCAGGATCAACGGGTCCAGCTTTCCTTTTTGACCGTGTCGTGAACATTGAATATTCAGAGATGCAATTGCGCACGATGATTACCGGTCGGCATATTGTTCGAGACGTCATTTGTAAGCGGTGTAAGGTATAGCAGTGCAGTATGCTTTATCTCAAGAGGTTTTGTCATAATAGAATATTAAGGAATATAATAGCAGATTGGGGCAAATGTATAGAAATCCAGGGAATGTTAACTTCTGGAAGAAACTTAGTGATATATGCTTAAAAATTGCTGTCACATCAAATTTTACCTTTTTGCTAAGATTTAGTAGAATAAGCGTATCAGACTGCATCACTTGCATTTTCCGGGTATTTTTGGAAGAATGAGGTGGGCTGAATGTGAGGTAGTAAAAATATGTGAGTATTAAATAAGGAAAATGTAAATACAAGGTAACGAATAATACAATCAGTATGAGAATTATTTCTTTCAAGAATTTGCATGTAATACAGTGCAATTATACAATGTTAAATTTCAAAAGAAAAAAGTTGAGTTCAAATGAATGAGGTTGAAAAAGTCATTTAAATATTTGCAGACAAAACTTGGTTGGATGTATGAATATGCAATGAATGAACCTCAAAAGTACAAGGAATCTAAAGTTATTCTAGAAAGAGCTCTGATCGAAATGAGTGAAGGCATCGATAATCCTGTTGACGATGGGAGAGAGCCACGACAACGATACACCTAGAATAACTTTAGATCTGTTAGTTTCTCATCTAAATTTCTGGTCCGGAAAATACAATATGCCGCTATATACATAATAGACATTCTGTATGACTTTGTAGTTTATGTACAACTTTGCGTATATGTTCGGCAGAATGGTTCTCCAAATCGAATGTAATGATTTTGCAGTGATTGATTGTTTGCAATTACTGTCTTTTTAATGTTCCTCAGTATGGCTAAGAACTGGCCTGTCTGATTTCAAACTAAAGAGTTCTCGTGGAAAATTTTAACATTATAGGAAAATCTACTGTTAAACATTCTGCTTTCAGTCAAGTATTTCTCACATTGTATTTATAATGTTTGTATTATTACTTGTCGTTCTGTGCTACTTTCATTCCGTTGTATTTTCTTTAGGATACAAACTCAAGCTTTCATAACATTCGCGAAGTTGTAAAGAAAGGGTGCGTGTGAAGTTTTAACTTTACAAATTTCATTGAGTTTGAACAGATTATTCTCACCGTTTTAGAACAAATATTCTATGCTGTATAAATCTTTATTGCTATGCATCAATTTCGATAAAATTATGGATTTTATTGCAGAAGTTTTGATATCCATTTAGAGTTGGTAATCTCAGGCATTGCCTGTACTATTACTGGTTGTGTCGAGACGTCTATAAATAATGGTTTGCAAGATTTCGAACTGAAAGGTTGTGAAGGACTAATGAATAGTCTTTCTATATAATTCCATTATTTTAGAGGTGTGTTAAACTCCGCAATCTTTTATCAAATTGCTTATTGACATCGGGTCACCGTCGTATATCTCCGCTAGCATCATTGGAGCACTGAGCAGCATTTGTCGAAACAGGTTCAACACCACAGAGTGGAAATTGCGGTCAGATCGATAGTGTTGTAATGATGATTGGGAAGTGGAGTGGGTTGATCTGTATGTTAGTGAAATGTAACAATGCAGGGCAGTTGCTACTGGGAACTTTTATAATTTTGACTGAGTTAAATCTTGAGGTGGAATTCAAACTTGTTTGAAATTGCGTGTTGCCGGGGAATACCATTTACGAATTGATATCAGTAACATTACATTTTTGTAGATTGCACATTAGTGATTATTTTGGGTTACTGATTATGACGATACTGCCTAAACCGAAGAAAGTGATAAAAAGCGCCGAACGGCATAGTTCACAGCAAACAGGGTTAGTCTGATTAAAAATTACTGTACAGAGTAGTGCTTCTATCACGTTGATTGCACCTAGCAGTTTTTGTTATTTGGTATTTTTAAGATAATTAGATATTTCCAAGATTTGTAGTCACATTGCAGAGCTTTTAAAATGCCGAGCCTTTTTTCCTCGTTGAAGGTCTTTTGTTTCCTGCACACAGTCTAAATTGCAATATTCGATATAAAAAATTCTGGGATATTTCTAAACCCAGAACGTTGATGCAATCATATAGACATTCAAGTGCGAACAGTAGCAACGAGGAAAAAAGGATAATGTTGTCATTTCTAGCTCTAAAAGTTCATTTTCGAGGTTATTCACTTCTCACGTCTTACATTCTGTGTGGCGCAAACGTTATAATGATGTCACGAGGCTAGGGTCTTTCATTATCTTGAGGACAGTGTTCTTGCATATAGTACGATAGATTTGATGAAATGAATATTAGTAGAATAGTTTTTATACCTCTTAGAAATCACTGGAAATGGTACTTGAACGGGTGCCACAGTTATAATAAATATATATTTCAGGACTTCATCTAGTAAAAGCAGTCATTCTTTGGGTGCATCTTCACCGGAAACTAATAAACAACCAAGACAAAGCACTCCTGAGGAAAATCCAGGTAATTGTCACTTCGTAAAAAAGTTCCGGATTGATTTGTTTTTGCTTGAAGAATTATTGGCATTTTTTTTTACAGACTTGTTCTTATTGTTATGCTTCCAGGTGCTCCAATTATTAATTCTGATGATGAGGATGGTTCCGGTTTTAAAGATGATAATGTATGTCTCCTGTTTCTTCTATGTTTACTAATGTATGAACTGACCTAGGATTCTTCTATAGTAGTGGGAGGTTGGAAATGATGGGTCATTAAAGAAAATCTTTTTTTTTTTTTTTTTTTTTTAATTTATTATATGAAAGAGAACCGTGCAAGCAAAGTGGTTTGGATAAATAATTATTTTGTTTCAGCTTGAAGCTTGGTTTGAGGAGCGTTTGCGTTGTGTACGTGGTCTTGTGATCAAGCCTGTTCGAGGGGATGGAGCATGTCTCTTTCGAGCTGTTGGTGAGTATGAAGTCGTAAAATGTCCGTTTTGATAATAAATTTTTGCTTTATTTTCATTTCTGAAAATAAATTTTTGTTAGAGAAGTAGATTCTGAGTAAATTTTGGAGCCCTAGATAACATCTGAGAATAGCTATCAGGTAACTTTGTATAGCACTCTCCTTTCCTGCGCTTTTTTGTACACATTGCTAATGAGACTTCTATTCCAAAAATGAATTACCTGAGAGAAATAACTCTCTTTAGAATATAATACTATTTTTGAAGTGAACATGTTAATGTCGCTCTCTCTGTAAGTATTTAATTCAGAAAGAAAAGCAACTTATTGGTTTATTCAACATCTTTTCAGCGGATCAGATATATGGTGATGAAGAAATGCATGACGATGTTAGACGACTTTGTATGGACTACATGGTTAGTTTAGTTTTACCGTGTGGTTTTTGAATGGTTTAGTTTTTCTATTTTGTTATTATCCAAAAATGTCCTAAACTAATAAAAAAAAAACGGAAACTAGTCGTCTAATTTTCTAAGCTTAATAGTACCTCATTCAATGTGTACTTCTGGTCCTAGAAAATCAATGAAGAACAGTGTTTTTGCTTGGAACTTTATAAAATGTTTTCTCATGCCATAATGTAATCCATTTGTTTCTGTACCTCATCTCATTTGAAGTATTCAACTCAGAAAGGTTCGGATTTGCGACCCTTCTTAAGTTTATTTAGGTGTATGCTGCTCCTTCGTCTGTAAAGCATTCCGAATCAAACTTCTTTTCCTAACTCCAAAACTGAAGCTGTCTTTTTTCCAAAGATAACTTAAGATTTTTGATAAATTTTCAGGAGAAGAACAGTGATCATTTCTCACAGTTTGTGACGGAAGATTTTCATGACTACATTACACGGAAACGGCGTCGCGATGCTCATGGAAATCATGTCGAATTGCAAGCAATTTCGGAAATGTTTTCACGCCCAATCGAGATTTACGAGTATTGCACTGGTATGTTCTTTGTGCTTATATAATCTTAGCGTACTTTCTTTTTCTTCGCAACACTAATATTCTAATTTCAGAGCCCCGAAATATCTCCAGCTCTCGTCTAGATTCCTCCCCTTCTGCAGAACCGAACCCACCCATTCGTCTTTCATATCATGGTGCAATTCATTATAATTCAGGTTAGTGGTGAATAATTTTAAAAATGAGTATATAATTTGGTCAGTCTAGTTTATATTTTATTTTATAGATATTAATTTCGCTAATTTCAGTTGGTTTGGTCAAAAACTGAAACAGACAGTCCCATTGAAAAAATGCGAGTTCTTTCGGATATGCAGCCACATTTTTTATGATTTAAATTAATATTTTAATGAACCATTAAGGAATAAGATGCATTTAACCAAGTTTTAGTCATTGATCCGACTAAAGCGACAATCGGAGTTGGTTTGGGATTGCCTGAGTATTCACCTGGAGCAGCGGACAGAAGCCTATTACAAGAAGCAATGCAGAAATCGGAAGTTCAAATGATCGAGGATGCTATGCTGCATGATAAAATTAAAATGACTGATTTTGAGCGTACAGAGCAAGATATTAGTGAACAGGTCGCCGTTCAAATTTTCATTATTTTTGCCGTTGACTCATAGAATAATTTGTATGCATTTGCTTGTTTCAGTAATATTTTTATATCATTTGGCTTCAACTGAGTTTAATTATTTTATTTCAGATAGCTCGACAATCTTACTTGGATTATTTGAAAAGTCTCAGTAAAACTGGAAATGCTGAAATGAGAGAAACAGCATATGCGGTTTCGGAACCAGGTTGCTCACATGCAAATGTTCGACTTCAGGAAAGTAGTGATGGCGTAATAGGTGTCTTCTTTTGAATCAATTCTAGGTGATTGTATAAAGACTTTTCTGTAAATAACTCTATCATATTTAAGTACACGTATAAGAAATGTATGATTGGTGCGACGTATGTGATAATTACTAGTAATAGAAGATTTAAAGTATCTATACCGATGTATAAACATTTCAATTACATCTAGAACAATAGGCCGAAATTCACATGATTACTGTAATAAGCATGTTGCGGAGCGATTTTACTTGTGAAGCTGGTCGTAGTATCCTTATTTTATATTTAAATAAATTTAGAACTTCTAAATATTCATTTAACAGGTGCCAACGAATGGTTTCATGCAGCAGGATCGGATGCCGAGGAAAACGCATTGTTGGCACAGGTAATGGCGCTTTCACAACAAGAATTTATGAATTCATTAAAGAAGAAATCAGCAAAGGAGCAAAATGATGCTGATCAAGCTGGTTCTAGCAAGTCGTCGTAGGTAATTACCAAATTCAATTTGTTCCACCTCTTTTTTTGTGGTGCTTGTTTTCCTAGTGACAGTGATGTTATAGATTTTCAGGATGGCCGTTTCTCGCTCGATGTGGACTATTATCATCTTTTTTTACGGTGTTATTTTTTGTTTATATTTTGTGAGAAATTCACAATGCGCATGTGTTTCTAAAGTACTTACATTCACAAGAACCATCGATTAGTTTTTAAAGTTCTTTCAATTTTCTGCACTTATCTGACAGTCACAACGTTTGGTTTTTTCTTCTGAAGCTTGCCGCCATTTAATTAGTCATTAATGAATTGTGTCAATTTGTGTGGTATTTCATTGATATTGGTCTTTCATATTGAATCCACTATTCAAAGATGCGAAATACAATGGTTGAATGTCATTTGTATTTTAGTCTTTTTTTTTGCATTGATTGTAAATCATTTTGTTTCTTTCATCTAACTTAGAAAACCATCATTCGACTGGTTTGGTGGATTTCTTGATTTTCATTTAATTGTGGTAATGCTGTTTAGGGTTGAAATCTTGCTGCTCTTTTAGAGATTTTAATACATAAAGTTTATGTGAATCTTTTTCTGTTAACTTTGCTTTTTTTGCATACCTTTATTATCAATATGCTAGTACATTCGGACGTTTAATGCAATTCATTCAGTACTTGCAATAAATTTTGCATGGGGAAGGTGCAAAGCATTAGATTTTCGAAGGTGGCTTGCGTGTGAAGTTATTGATTATTTGGCAGGCATACAATATATTAAACAAATTCTTAAGAATTTTCTTAAGAATTAGTCTTCACAATCAATAAAACTTCAATTAGTTGAATGTTTTTTTATTCTGATTAAATATTACTCAAATTTTGGATTCATATAATGCTTAACAAGTGATAGTAATATGTGTATGGCTGCATGCATACATTTGTGATTATTCGTTTAAGAAAATCCCCAAAGTTTGATGCCAAACCATAAGTTGTCCTTATCCAGTCATTATTATGTTTTCTTCGTAAATCTTTGTACAAAATTATTCTAGCTGGAAAATGTTTTCTTAACATCCAATGGTTAAAATTTCTCGTCATTTTTCTTTTAACTGATTCGATTCATTTCTAGGTGAACATGATTTGATTCATTTACTTCTGAATAAAAATCCCTAGATAGCTTGTTCACTTTCTTACAAAGTAAACGGCAAATTTTAAATCATGATTTAAAAGGTTGCAGTTGCAATTTATTTCATTTTGACCACGCAAAATTTGATGTCTGGTTTAGTGTTTTTTTTTTTTCATATTCGGTTACAACATAATGGGTTAACAAGTTGCACTAAATAGCTAAGAAATTCTGATGAATTATGCCGATCTTTCTTCTGATTGTTTCTCTGCTAATGCCTTTAAACACGCATAAAAAAGGAATTTTTAATGTCTATGTGCAACGGTATTGAAATGTCATAGGTGACATAGAATTTTATATTATCATTCATCTTCAAGCAAGTATCTTAGCATTAATGATTTATTGAAATATAGCATATGAACTATAAAATTTGAACGAGTTTATTTTAAAGAATAAATTGAACCTCATTTCTCATCATTCACTTCTTCAGAAATATCACAGCATTATGATTACCATACGAAATCTATAGAAAATTTCATATATTACAATGAGTCATATGTTTTGGATCTGGACTAGGGTTTTCGTCGACTCTTTAAAATTTTGAAAATTTCTCCATCACTTGGATATTTTTTGCGAAAGGGTTCGTTAAATTTACAACCGAAATAAAATGTCGCTGTTGAATTCAAGCACCGATCGGATCTCCACACGTACCTAGAAACATTTGTCTGTATTAATCTAAGAAAGACATAGAAGAAATATTCATTTCTTAAAAAGAAAAAAAAAAGCTATTACCAATCATTTTCACGCTCTACCAACTGATAATTGTAATATTGAAAGCAAGAAGGATGGAAAAGTTCAAATGCTGAGTGGAAAACCTATAAATATTTATTTTCATTTTGATATACATGTTCAAATTCAAAAATATTTTCGTGAAAAGAACGAAATTCTGTGCTTTATTTAAGAAAGACAGAGAGAAAAAAGAAAAAAGGGATGGGAAATTTTTGAAAATTATAAATTCATAACCAACATAAACATACGGTATGAGCACTAGGGCAGAAAATATTGCAGTAACTACGGTTGATTGTAGTATTGTATTTTTCCTTCAATTGAAAAAAAAATTATTTATTATTTTCTAAAATTTGATGAAAGAAAAGTTATTTTAATAAGAAAAATAATTTTTGCAAAAATTTCTACCGCAAAACATCCAGCTTCCTTTGGTGCTATTCGACCTGGTTCTTCAAATTCCGTATCTTTTAATATTAAATGGCATTTTGATGCTTCATTGCCACTTTTTCTGCTTGAATCTTCCGTTAAGCATACCAATTTACGAAATTCTGATAGTTGATTGATTTAACAAACAAAAAAAAAAAAATTAATCACAATCAAAATATTTAATTCAATTAGAAGAATATTTCATTTAATCAATTAGGCATAATTAATCGGCCATCAAATAATAAGTAATTGAAATTAGCACATTGTTTGTTTTTTCTTTTTTTTTTGTCGTCTGTTATGATTACAAACCTTTTTTTTTTTAAAAAAAGACTAAAAATGCTATACCTAATAAAAGAAATATAAATGAACTAACGTGAATGTGCTTCCGTGGCAATTAAAATTGAAAGAATAAGAATTGCAGGAAATGACATATGGAAGTGATGAATACAATGTCTGATAACGAAAGATGAAAACTGATCACATCTCGAATATCATATCCGGAACTTCGTTACTGGTACTACCTTTTCCCTGATTTCCCCAACAATCTTGTTTCATCTTACTAACTCGTCCTTTTTTTTTAAAAATTCCATCCTTTTCTTTTCATATCATTCTTATATTTCATCGCTCTAATTATTCTATCAATTTGTATATCATTTAAAATGATTTCATTTTTTTCTTATATCATTTTATTCTTATTCACCTAAACCTTTTTGTTTTGTTTTTTTTTTTTTTCGCTCACTTTTAAAATGGCAAGTTTTCTTTTTTCTCTGTGTTATCATTTAAACTAATTAAGATCAATTGATTGAAATTTTGAGAAATCCTAGAATATTACTAATCTCTACCAATGTTACATTGCCACTGATTTCTCTTTATTTCATCAGACAATTAGTTTTCAAAAAACAAAAACAAAAGACGAAAAACTATAAAGTTTCATTACATGTTTGAAGATTTTATATTCTTGTTCAGATTTGTACCAAGAAAAAGAAAATTTTTTTTAAATTAATCAGACTAACCAAAAAAACGAAGCTAATTTTTTTTTCGAAAACATAAAACAAAAATAATGATTAAACATATTTATTAATAAATCATACAGTAATAATTTTTTTCAAGAAAAATAACAATTTTCTTTCAAAAAAAAAAAAAAAAAAAAGAAATAAGGTTTCTTTTCTTCGTTATAAAACATAAATGTCGAAAGAATTTAAGTTCAAATAATGTTATTAGTAATTAAAAAGATACGATAAACGGTAAATATCAAATTTGATTCATTTCAATTTATCGTTTTTTTACAAAGTTTGAAAAATTTTTTCGTGGTTATTCAATAACAGTACCAAACAAATTAGAGTAAAATGATTTTAATTAAAAGATTACATTTTAAACAATGCTAAATTTAAACCGGAATAATTTAAAAATGATGATTGGAGCAACCAGATATATATATATATATATATATATATATATATATATATATATATATATACGTATCATGTATTTTGCATTTCTAGGTTTCAATTCAACAAAGTTGGTTAAATTAAACTCAGCTATATATGATTGAAAGTATACGATATAAAAAAGAAAAAATTCATTTAATGATTTTAATTCAATTGTTAACCAATCAAATCATTAATCAATTTTTTTCGAAATTTTTAATTAGCCTTTTAGAGCTCGAGACTTTAATTTAAAATTTTAAATTAGTCTTTTAGAGCAAATTACACTGATAATAAAATGTGAACATCATAGAAATGTTTGACTGCTAAATTGGAAGAACTTTTTACCAATAAACAAATTTACTTTTCATAGCTTAAAAAAAAGAAAAAGCTTCCAAAACACCTACTTTAAAAATATTTTTTAAATTACTATTCACTAATTAATTTGCCAGCTAATTACAAATTTGAATGATAATTGCCGATCGAGTTTTGTTTTCACCATTTTTTCTTGATCACACTTTTCCGTTAATAATTTGAACATTTTTAAAGCAAATATGTTTTTAATTAACATTTCACACAAAGCATAATGAATGCTTCAGAAATTTTTTTTTTTGATAAATGAAATGCTCTAATGAGCTTTTCTAAAAAAATTGAAAAAAAAAAGAAAATAATTAAAAAATTAGGGGAAATTTAAGTATAAACTTGTTTAAGTTGCTCGAAATTTAAAAAAAAAACTAGAAAGTTGAAATATTTTTCTTTGAAAAAGGGAACAAGCCTTTCATATGTAACTAAATAAAAATTAACAGAAAAAAGAATACATAGACGTTAATAAAATTTTTAAAAAAGCATTAATTAATGAAAAAAATTTAACAGGAATAAAATTTCAAATATTAAAAAAATTACTGTTCTGAGATCATTGAAAAAAAAAAATGAAATTTGCTACTATTTTTCATTTAGAATTATTAATTATGTCGGAATTTGTATTTTTTGATGAATGTTCTTCCTCACATCGTTTCACTTCTTTGAATAAAAGTTCTGAAAATTTATTTATCAATTATTAAAAAAACATTCAATTTGCAAATTTAAAATTTTCAAATTAAAAAAAAATCTTTTCTTATTACCCTGCAAATTTCATACTAGAAAATGCTAATTGAAGCATTTGTAATCAAATGCTAATTGAAGCATTTGTTCCATCAATTATTTTTGTCTATCCAAAACTTTTAACAAAAACTTGGAGGAAAAATCTATGTTTAATAATCTGATTACTAGTATGAAATTTTGAATTGGGTTAATATGAATATAAATAACGATAATCAATAATTTGAACAACTAATTTATGATAAAATTATGCAATTAATTAATATAACCTTTCCATGAACTTATTGGTAAATCGATAAGGTCATTATTTGCATCATAACGATTTTCTGGAAGTGGTACATTCCATTCCTCGTCTCGAAACCATAAATTTACATATGGATGACGTACTGCTTCATCAATACTTATCCGTTTTTCAGGATCAATTTGGAGCATTTTGAATAACAAATCACGTGCAACGGAAGCTAAAAATATTGCCATCTTTTAGAGTAGAATTTGGATATACAATTAATTTTCATGTCCCACTAAATTTTCTTATGGATTTAAAAAAAGGAAAAAAAAAAGTGACCTTTCTTTTTCTAAAATTTGCAATTATTTTCGTTCGTCGCATATAAAGAAACTTATAAAATAACCTTAATACAATAAGGAAAAATAGTAATAATGAAATATAGCAAAATAATAAAATAAATATAATAGCATAAGATGATGGTATAAATATAATATCATGAAATGATGACAAAAATATGATACCATGAAATAATGATGTCAATATAGTAAAGTAACGAATATTTATTGTAAAGATAAAAAAAAAAAAAAGAAAAATATTTCACTTCCTTGAACAATATATGAAATTTTTGATAGTATTACCCAGCCTTTGTTTTTCTATCAGAATTAATTATTAGAAGGAAATTAAAAAGGAATTTGTGTTTTCTTAATTGAAGTAGCTAAACTGATCTTGAAATAATATATTAGAAATAAATTATAAATAAGAAAAACTTCTTCTAGAAGTCATAACCTAATATTTTATCAAATCATGAAGAATTATTGCACTGTAAGTTAAATAACTTTAATTTTTTTTAAGTGTGAAATCTTTACGAACAAACCACAAAGTTGTGGCGCTTTGGAATAATTTCCAACAAAGCATTCATCTGGAAAAATTTCTTCAAACGGTAATGGATCATTGTGTCCCTTACTTTTTACAAAATTTCTCGTATGATGTTCTAATCTGAAAATATATTATGAGCAAAATTATGGATAAATAAATTTTTATTTAAGATCCTGAAATTTTTTATTGATTAATAGAAAATTTACGAAATATTTCATTCATTAATGAAAAATTTTAACAAATTTTGTTCATCAAACTGTAGCAATTTTATTGCATAATAATGACTTATTAATAAATTCTTGGCTCGGTGATCCCAAAATTTTAATAATTTTGTTCCATTGATCAAGTTGATCAGTGCCCGGGAATAAAGTTTTTCTATTTATCATTTCAGCTAATATGCATCCAATTGCCCAAACATCAACTGCAATAATTTATTATATTACTATACAGTATATTTCTTCTTTCATTTATTTATTTTCATATGAAAATTTCTATTACTAAATTTTATTTTTCGAATTTTTGAAATTCTTATAATTTATTGAGAAGAGAAATGAATAGTTTTATCAAATTTTCGAGAACTGTTAGTATATTTTTTCATATTATTCATTTGTTTAGCAAGAAAATATGAGTAAATATAACTGATTAATCAAATTGTTATTATCATTGTTAATTGATTGTTATCACTGATAATAAAAAGTGCAACCTTTTTCATCATATGGAAGACCAAGTATTACTTCTGGTGCACGATAATAACGTGTAACAACATAAACAGTCATACGTTCACCTGTTTCAATTTTTCTTGCTAATCCAAAATCAAGTATTTTCAAAATGCATTTATCATTTACTACTATATTACTTGGCTTCAAATCCTAAAAATTCATTTACAATTTTTTTTTTTTTTGTTTTTAATATAGAGCATCCAACACTTTTTGTATAATTAACTTTAATTGCCATCACTGATATGCAAATTTAATAGCTATGCTATCAGATTAATTTTACTTGAAAATCAGTTATTTAAAGGAAGGAAATTTCATGCATACCCGATGAATAATTCCACTACGATGCATATATTTAATTGCAACAATCATCTGATACGTAAAATATGAAAGATTTTTGTTATCCAATTTTAGTTGCTTAATCACTTGTGATAAATTATAATTCATTAATTCCATTACTACATAAATATCATCGAAATCTTCCAATGATTTATGCGGCGTAAAAGCATTTTTAAGCAGTATTATCTGCAAAAATTTCAAAATATCACTTTAAGCACTATTCGATTTATATTGAATAGTAATATTTATTATTTATTTATTTACTACTACTACTACTATTATTATTATTATTATTATTAACTATTATTATTTATTATTATTATCATTACTATTATTAATTATTGTTATTAGCAATAGTAGCAGTAATAGCAAAGTAGAGATTAATGTATCAAGCGCACAAATCATGTGATTAACTATCGATTAATTAAAAATAAATTCAAATTATGAAACCGGCTCCTGCGAGCAATTCAAATAAGCTAATAAGCATTGAATTACAATGACTCATAATTTTTCATAAAAGAGAATTGCTCTTTGACCTAGATAACATTGAACTGATATTCAATGGTTCAGATATTGTTTTTGAGAACTATGAATTTTTATATGTGTGAAGTACGAATTTATTTAGATTTGACTTATAAATTTTGAAGCATAGTTTGCTTTATTAAAACTATCAATGTGTTTGATACTTTTAATGAGCTTTAATCTACAATTTATTCATTAAAAAAAGAAAGGCGAAGAAAATACAACGGATAAAAAATGAATTTTTAAATTTAGATGTTAAAGTAATACAAGTTATTCTAAGTACTATTGTTAACTATTGCATTATTTTTTTCTCTTTCTAATTTAGTTTTTTATTTCTAGCACTCAGTTATGATGATCTAATATCATAATTTTTAAAAACATATTTAAAATTCCGAAAATATGATTAATTTTAAAAGTTCAAAAATTTCATTTTTTAATAAATATTTTAAAAGTTGGAAAATTTTATCTCTTGTGATCATTTTTCTAAAATTTAGGAGAAAAGAAAAAAGTTAATAATTAAAGAAAAAGAAAAAAACAATTAACAAACATTTGGATGTTTCATTGTTGTGAGCAAAACAAATTCTCGATATGTTCGACGAGCGGTCATTGTTGTCAGAAATGGATGAATGATTTTTTTGATTGCAACTTGTTCTTGCGCAATCGTATCATAAGCTTTACTGAAATTTATTAAAAATAATAATTTAAACTTCAATTCGAAAGTTTCTATTTAAAAAATTATTAAACTTACACAACAATTCCCTGAGCGCCGGTACTTAAATATGAAAGATTGGTGTATTGCTTGGGGACAGTAAATAAAGCATCTGTTGAGCGTCCTTCCACTTTAATTTGATGAAATAGACTTGCATTAAAACTCATCCTGCAGAAAAAAAGGAAGAAGAAAATTTAAATGAAGTTTAACTTTAAATTAAACTTTCATGAAGAAATAAATTATAAAGAAAATTTTTTTTTATTTTAAAAATGAACCTAAAAAAAAAGGCCTATGTGAGTAGGAGTTAGATAAAGATGAAATGACATTAAATAGAATTTGTGCAAAACTTCAAAATAAGCAATAATAATTTTAGATAACAAATTATAAAATAAATGAATATATTGATTGTAAAGAAAGAAGAAAAACTTCTTTATCATAGAATTTTATTGAACTAATTACTAGGCTTCACTAGATCTAGTTAAATTTCTCGGCCAACCTTTTAATTGATTGAAATTGACAATTTAAATGTCCAATATTTATCATATAAATGATTACTGAATATGAAAAACAAATTAGTTCATGAAAATAACACAATCATTTTATTTTTTTACGGACGAATAGAATTTTTTCTGTAATAATCGGCTTTTTAATAAAAATTGAAACATCGAAAATTGCTTATCATATTTAACATGCTGTCTGATCAATCAGTAAAAGGTTTTTTTACTTTTATTTTTTGAAAAATCTTGAACTTGAACATACCAGTTCGAAATAATTTCATCAATTAGTTTGAACTTAACTAATTGATGCTTATGAATAATTTTTATGCTTATTTATGACTTTTCATCCTTCAATCTTAAAATTAACTATCATCATCTCTTATTAAAAATGTTTAGATTCAATGAAAAAAAAGATCCCACTTAATTAAATCAAATAGAAGTCTAAAAACACTTAATAAATTAATTGTAAGGGAAATAAAAACGAAGAATAAGACAATAAAGAGACTTGAAATATACCTAAAATTCAATCAAAAATAAAATTTAGTTATATAATTAATTTATATTCCTAATTCAATCGTAATTAAATTACTGAATAAACTGAAATAAGTGAAAAAAAAATGTACGTAATGCTTGGTTAAATTAAATGGATAATTTGTTAACAAATTTAACTAATTAATAAGTTTAAAAAAGTGAAAAAATGAGAATTTTCAGTAAAATGACATGAAAATATGCCAATCATAAGTTAACAAAAACAAGCAAACTAATAAATAAACAAACAAACATTATCGCCTAATATATTGAAGTGTTTCAGACACAAATACGTTAAATTATCGAGAATTATTCCATCTTTACTAACTAAACTGGTTTTTTTTCTTCTTTTCCGTTTTATTATTGTTGCTGTGAAATCTGGTAAATATGAATGCAATTGATTGATGTGTAAAAGTTATAGATATTATTTTGATAAATTTATCTCACCAGTAGAATAATTTAGAAAAAGAAAAACAATAAAATGTGGCATAAATTATTTCTAATTATTATAAGAGCTGATAATTTATTTATAAACATATTTAGTTATTTTCACTCCTTTTTTCTTTTAAATTATAAAATTTGTTTAGTGAAAATAACAAAATAGAAATGACCAGTTCATAATTATGATTTTTTAATTTCAATTTTATTTAAATAAGTGAAATATATTTCTATAAACCACTTTTTTTTCTACTAAAAAATTTATGGTCATCACACAAAAAGCAAAAACAAAATAGAGAGGGAAAAAATTGTCAGTGGAATTTTTTTGAACTGTTTGATTTTCTTTCATAAAAAATTTCAATTCCTATTTCAAGAAAACAAAAAATCTATTACTCTTATTACTTAATTCCTCAATGCTAAATAGTTTGAATCATTCGAATCATATTATTGTAGCTTAATTTAACTCCAAAAAGAAAAAATAAATAAATCAGTTAATTATAATAAAATAGAATGTTTCACATAATCAAAAAAAAAGTGAAAAATTTTCATGCGACAGACAATGAAAAGTTGATAACATTATTATCAGTTTGTGTAATACATTCAAATTATCGATTGTTTGAATGATTGATTTGAAATAAATGTCTATTTTAGCAATGGGAAAGGAAAGAGAATGAGAGAAATAAACAGAATTGAAAATAAGGTTAAGAAAAAGGAAGGAAAAAAAACGTTTTCCGCTATCAGTTTCTTTTTTATTTGAATTTTAGGTAATAATAATAAATAATAGCACCTCTAACTATGTGTTATCTTCATTTTCTCTCTAGTTTATCATTATGATCTGATAATATATTTCACATTTTCAGTGTTTCAAATAAATTCTTTTCTTTTTACATCAATAATTTTGCTAATTAAATATAGTGGAAGAAAAAAAAGAAGCCATGAAAATATTCATGATTATAAAATATACAATTTATTACAAATTAATAAATTGATTAATTATATGATTAACAAAATAATTTTATAATAGTTAATTATAAAATATTATCATTATCATCAATCATCATCAATATTCCGTTATTTTCCAATTATTATTAGAAATTAACATTACATTTAAATGATGATAACATTAGAATTTTGCTTGATTAAAAAATTTAATTAAATAACATACATAAAAAGCAAAACAATAGAGAAAATAATTCTGCAATTTATTCATATAAAACATTCATAAAAATTAAAATTTAAACTCTGATTTTGTCAAAAAACATTCATTATTTTTATCATTTTGATGATCAAATCATCAATAGTATTTTTAATAATTATAAACAAAATTGTATAAGTGAACAAAAGAAGAGGAAAAAAAGAAAAATGTAAAAGTTGATTGCATAGGAATGAAAAGATGAAAATGATAGGCATAGAATGATTCCAATCATATTTATTGTTATCAGTTCCATATTGATTAGACTGCAAATTTTTTAAAATAAATAATTTTCAGTGATAACGAAAAAAAAGAAAAAATGCAATGTTACCAAACAGTAAAAAAAAAATTTATTAGGAAAAAAATGCTTGCTTATTTCACAAAAAAGTTATACTTCAATTTCAGTTAGTGGTGGCATTTTATTATATCACATAACAAAATCAGTGAGAGATATATTACATTTCAACATTTGATAACTTAAATTTGGTTCAATTATTTAATTTCTCGGGAGAAAGAAGTTTAAATTATCATTTTTAAATTGATTGGAATTATAAATCTTTAATCTGTATGTTTCTTTTCCTTAACTGTATACCATAGCTATAAAAAAAACTTACTACTAATGTAAAATTTGCTCTACAAAATTAAAAGGAAAAAATTTTTGAAATTTAAGTTTAAAACGTAAATTAAAAGAAACGAAATTGAAAGTAAGCAAAATCAAAGTTTCGTATGTAAAAATCAACTGAATTTAACAAATTTCGCAAAAAAAAAAACATTAAAATCTGAGATTTTCTTATTTTCATAAAAATAAATCTCACATTAAAAAAAAAAATAAATTAAGTTTTTCATCAATAAAATTTGCTTTTAAATGTGCTTAATTGAATCAGTTCAAAAAAAAAAAAAAAAAAAAAAAAAGATTTGAAATAATTTCATTACAGTTGAAAAGTTTGCAACTGATAAGCCATAGTCATCTTTACTCCACCAATGGCATCCTAAATGTTAAAGCAGCTGTTCTCATCAACAAATCTCATTAGTTTCTTTCAACAACAATTCATTGCTCTCATTTACCATTGCAAAATTTTCATCATTTCATTTAAATTCTCATTCATTCACTTTTCCTATACTTGTATCTCTTTTTTTTTTTAATTCATTTATTTATGGTAAGTTATGCAATATGTGTTTCTTGTAGATCATATTAAATAATTTTAAGATTTTTCAATGTGTTAGAAAAGTTACTTTATTTCTAATAATAATAATAATGGCTATAAAATATTTGGTTCTTGTAGACTAAATTAAATAATGTTAAAATTTGTGAATGTGTGAAAAATTTGTAATGAATTCAAAATCAAAGTTTTTCTTCCTTTTTTTTTTAAACAAATGAATTAAATTTTAGATTAAAAATGCTAATATTAAAAGTAACAGGATTTACACTGTTATTGGTAGCGTTTGCATACTGCAAAATGCAAACAATGACAGTAAGAGGACAAGTGGCATGCAGTGATAAATCGGCTATTAATGTTCATATTGAATTACGTGAAGCGGATACATGTTATATTTTCTTTCATATTTCATTTCTTAGATCTATAATTTCAGATCTATTAATTTTTAGACCTTAAATCTGCCTTTAATTTTTAATTTTAGCTTTAATTTTAGATCTATCAATATCTTTCAGTAAATAATCTATTATTTGATTTTACAATGTTAAAATTAAAAAAAAAATTTTAAAAAAAAGAAAATTACAAATGTGATCTAAAACTGAATCATACAAAATCATTTATCGTAAACAATTTTTCTTTATCTTTTCTAAATGCAACAAATTTGCATCATTCATTCAAAAAATAAATGCTAACTTAATTTATACCAAAGTTTTATACAAAAAACGAAAAATGAATTCTTTCAATTCATTTTTCATTTTTTTGAATTATGAAGTTGTTTATTTGGATTTTTAGTAAATAATTATGTATTGTAGTGAAGAAAAAATTTCTTTTTTTATTTAATATTAGTTAATCTATAATTTAGTCAATTTTTGGTAACCAATTTGGACAGATAAAGAAAAATTTTGAAATTAACAAAGCAGTTTTTTTCAAAAATAAATTGATCAATTTACTGGTTTAAAAAACCATTTTTTATGATTCGTTATGAAATTTTAAAGGGGACCCTGATGATTCACTTTCTGCAACTCATTCCGATCGAAACGGACGCTTTGAAGTGAGTGGACAGGAAGATGAAATAGGCAGTATTGAGCCTTATTTGCGCATTACTCATAGCTGTAATGATGGTGTTATCGATCCGGTAAGTTTTTCAGCAAAATATTCGGTGGTATGGATTTAATTATTTTATATTTTGGGATGGGTTATATCAACTTATTTTCAGTACTGCACATTTTTATATTAAATTAAAATTTTCTTTCCATGCTTCTATTTCATTTCATATAGTTTGAAAGTTGGAGCAGAAAAAAGAAAAAAAGGTTTAAAAGAATAGAGTGAACTTTTTGATTGGATGACAACATCGTGAGACAAATATGATTTCTTTTTTTTTTTTTTTTTAAATTTCTGATCCTAATCAAAATATGAAGGGAAGAAAAATTCAAGACTTTTTTTCAATTTTTATTTCTGAAATGCAATCATTTCAGAAATGTAGGATTGTGGACGATTATCAAATTCCAAAAGAATACATCAATGACATCTATAATATGGGTATCGTTAGTTTGAATATCGCTCAAGAAGGCAGAGAGAAGAAGTGTATTTAAAAATATATTATTAATGTTTTTTATGATTATTAGCATATTTATTCACATTTCAAATTATGATCATTTTCAAATTCGGTAATTTTTTATAAATTTATTTGTAGAGTAATTCATTAATATCATCGTGCACAATGATTCAGTGACCTTTACGAAGAGCAAAAAAGATTGAACAGATGTAGGATAGAAAAAAACGGGTCGAAAAGTTAAAAATACAAGGATCAATTGAATCACTCATAAGAGTTATCTGTTCCTGCTGACATAATCATATGCCAGACACAACTAAACTCTGCAATTGAAAAAAAAGAAGCCGCAATATTAGTTGCTAAATCAATTCGTTGAATTCAGCAGTTGACCTAGGTGATGCTATTATACAAATTTAAGAAACAAAATTGATTGTCAACAAAAAAAGAAAAAAAATTCTTTATTTTCCCTCAATATTTTTTTCGTAAAATAAATTATTTGTATTTTGTATTGATGAATGTGTGCTTAATTTTTATTTTTATTTTTTTTTTTATTACCTAATTCGATTTCTTTTAATATTCATAAAGTCTCCACTTCATTACGATTAAATGCTTTTAAAATACCCGGAAAGGAAGTAAGAAAAAAAAAAGGGAAAGCTGAAGAATAAACAAAAGTACATGAACTAGAACGAGTGAGAAACAAATTGAGCATAGGTTGTTGTCTTGTTGTAATGAATACTTAACTAAATTTTCAATTTCTTTCACTTAATTCATCAATCGTGAAAGTTTACATCGCCGTATTACAATAACATTCTAATCTATTTCACTAGCTTCTAGTTTCAAAAAAAAAAAATCAAGAAAAAAATTTTTTTGACAGTTTTTTTACAACTTCTCTCTCATATCAAGAAGAGTAAAATAAACAAAATAGTCTTAAGTGGTTTAAATAAATATTATTTGAAGCTTAATCGAAAATTTTATATTTATGATCATATTTTTAAAATCATAACAAAGATACGTTAAATCTGCAATTCATAATGATAAATTTTAATTAGTAATCAAAATTTTAAAAAATAAAACAAAACAAAACGAAATAAAGGAAAAAAGAAAAAAGCAACAATAATTGTCTTCTATGGTTCGATCGTTCGATGTCTCTAAATTTTGTCGTCGCTTCTCTCTTTGCAATTTTTTCCTTTTTCATTACCAGTAATCCGTTATCAACAGTTACAATCACAATTTCGCCACCAATTATCAACATTTACAGTATTAGTAGTAATTAAGCACTAAACTATGTTTTCTCCCGCTCTACAGTTCCGCTTTTTCAGTACTCAGCTTGACAATTCCTACTTCCCTGTACCCACCTAACAATTCCCTCCTTTCAAAATTCTTGCTCCGCTATACTCCATCCAACAAATCCTCCCCCCACCACCCTTCCATTCACGTACATCACTTAATTATCCATTGCTTGCATCTTAGAAAAAGGCATCGTCCAGCCGCGAAATGACTACTGATCATGATAGTGAGGAAACCTAGAAAATACATAGAGGGATGGTGTTTGGGTCGATAACGTCAGTTAGATGGAAGTTAGGTGTAAAGTGTAAATGTTGATTTAGTTATGATGTGAATTTAATTTGCTGGTAGAAAGTCATACTTAATTAGTTAAACGGTTGCATGAAATCGTATGTGAAAAAGTATCCAAAGTAATTTTGATAAAAGTAGTACTGTACAATTGTGAAGTTAGAATTCAAACTTGTTAGCTGTGATAAATCATGAAAATATATATGATTTTCCTTGCTTGAATGATGGTTTTCTTGATATTGCACTCTAATGTTAATACAACTAAATAGCAAGATATAGAAATAAAGGAAGTAGACAGAAGTGAAAATAACAGCATATAAATTATGCAAATTTTAAAGGTATATTATTGATTGAAAATATGCAAATTTACAGTCATCAGATGGAGCTTGGAGTAAAGTTTTTTTTAGATTGATTTTTCCTAGAAATTGCTCAGAAGGTTTTCTATTTCACTTCTTGAGAGGTTGGTTTAGCTTCTGCATGCGTTATAATATTTCAAATGGGAGGGAATGAGGGATATGTCTTGGGACTTTGAAGACTATTGACTACTTTATCCAGGTTGATTGTTCTGTGGTACATCTGCTTCAAACTGATTGACATACATTATTTAAGTTGCATGGCAATTAGTATACCGTTTAACATTGGCTGGGAAGTTTCCCTAAATTTGTGGTGAATTTACAGTTGAAATTTCTTCTATTAATTTCTGTTCAAGTATAGTTTTAAAATACTCTGATTTTAAAAGAAAAAAGGAAGAAGACTTGCTTAAAAAATGGTAATCACTTCATTTCTATTGTTCTCTTCTTTCACAAAGCAAACTTGAATTTCAGTCATGAGAATCAGAGTGAAGACGTTGGATCGAAAAGATGAAGAACTCGACATTGCAGATGATGTAAGTTGCTGTTTATTCTTCAGCAAAGAGAAGTGGCCTAGGTATTTATTTATTTATTTTTTTTTTTTTTCGTTTTTTAAGTTGTGAATATCTTCACTGGATTTAAGGCAAGTCTCGGTACTTTGCGGAAAGTAATAGAGGAGAAGATGGGTATTTTGGAATCGAGACAACGGCTGATTTTTCAAGGACATCCACTTTTGAGCAATGATCGACTTCTGAAGGACTATGGTATTACAGACGGATTAACACTTCACATGGTGGAGCGTCCAGCCAACGCGTAACTTTTTTTTTGGCGTATTTTGAAAATGTCACTTTTGAAGATGAAGAAATTATACTGCAAATGTAACTTGTTGTATGTGCTTGTTGGGAGGGTAAAGTGATTGAATTTTTTTTTTGCAGTGGTCCTCCATCTGGACTGAATTCGCAGCTCTCTGATCTCGGACATGGTAGCAATGATGAGCACATTGAAAACGCGCGAGTTAATGTGATAAATGGTGAAATGGTTATCATACGCAATTCTGTATTTCAGGATGCAGGTAGCACAACGGTTAGTTTCTGTGGTGTACTAGTAATTTCCAAAATAATAATTTTGATCTAGGAAAATATGCTTGATCTTACCGCAAGATTGTTTCTAATTTTATGATTAATATAGTAATATCTAATTCTATATGTAATCTAATTTGGCTGTACAGTTGTTTGTTTGTAGGAGTTAGTAAGAGAGGCGCTTTCAAATGTGTTAGGTGCTGTCTTTGATCGCACTTCAGTTGATGTAGAAACTCAGGAAAACACACCGCGATCTGGTGATTTGACATTGCGAGTACATATTCGAGGTGCTAATGTACGTCATATGAATTCTGGAGCACTCAGTCGAATTAATTTCATCTCTGATGGATTAAGCCGCAGCGAGCGTACCTTACAACTTCTTGAGGTAAAAGTTTTTGTTATAGAAGAATCATGACAGAAGTGATCTATTCAGACGACAGATAACTGTTATCACTAGTAGACGTACATTTCTTAGTAACTAGATAATTGAGGTGGTACTAGTAATTTTGTCGAAAATTTTAAACCTGCATTGTATTAATGAAATGTTTGAAAATAAATGTTATTAAAAATTTTTTTAAATAAACAAAAAAAAAATTTTTTTTTCAGAAGGAGCCATTTTTATCGTTAATGGCTGAGGGTTATGAACGCGTTATGCCTCCCTTAAGAAATGATTTCGAACGTACAAAATTTGGTGAAACAGTTTTGGAATTAGAGGAAGTACTTCATATTCACCGTGCAGGCATTTATTATTTCAAGATTTTAAGATCGTAATTTCTCTTGTACCAGAAAATAAACATATTAGGTACCTGATAAACGAGTAGTCACCTTTACATTGAATTATTGCCTCAATATTGTTAAAAAATTGGATTTATATGGCTTGGTGTTTTGCGGTGGGCTATCCGACAATTTACTGCATAATTAACTCAATTACCTGGGGTTATTGTTAAAAACTGTTGTTTATCCATACTTAAATACTTTTCAGATTTGTCAATTAACTCTGATGATTCAGAATTAGATGATGAAGGTTTTTTTTTTTTTCTTTTTCTTTTTTTCTTTTTTTTTTTTCATTATTATAGAATGTTTGAAACAAAATTTCAAAAGCAAATGAATCAGCAAAATAGTTAACAACAATTTTAAATGGTATGATTTGGCAACCACTATTCTGAACTATTTTAAAGAATTAAAGAATCCTTGCATGATTTCACTCCGTTTGCAATTGCATATGCATTTCTACCATTGCCGTCCTGCACTGAGTGACCAGTATTTCTCATGATAGTGATATGTTGCAAAAACAACCATTTTTTGTGACAGTACAGCTCTCACTTCTCGTTGTTTTCCTGACTGCAGATTTTTTAGATGAAACTCAGACAACAAGTTCAACACCGGACAATAACCCACACCAACTTGTGGTTTTAAGGTTACTTTGATTAATAACTTGAGATTCCAAATACATTAGAACCTCTGTGTGATTTTTATAAGCAGTGTTTTGGCGGTACACAACATTTTCTGTTGAACCAACTTACTGAAACTGTTACGCTAGACTGTTTGTAATATCCATGTCTTATTCTAAATCTTAAGAACGTCCACAACATACATGATATTGCGTTGTTGATTTCTTTGGTGCTAAATGTCTTTTTTCTGTCTTAAGTTTGAATATCCATTGAATGTTTTTATGATTTCATTAAAGTTTTTAGAAATGCCACACCAAATGATTACACGGTATTACTTCGACGAATACTAGGAGTACAAAATCTGGCAAATTACCATCTAAAGCATTATCATGACATGATTGTTAAACGAAACAATATGCCAAATAACGTAAGTTTTATGCATCCTTGGTATGTGGAACCTTTTTTTGTTCCGTCAGCAGATATGAATGAAACCAGTTCTTAAGAAAATAGAAGTCTTTCTTTGCATTTTCGTAAGAGTTTATAAGTACTTTTGTTTTCGAAACATGTAAGCAGTGTTCTATTTCTCTGTATGTTTTTTAGCGTGCCAGATGTATCGCATTATGTTTTCAAGAAAATTTTCGACGTGTTCTGCACCGTCTTTCGCATGCCTACCATTCAATCTCCGATATCTTCATTAATTATTCGGATCCTGACGCGCCTTTGGAACCAAGCGCTATGGAACGCCATGAAGATCCAACAACTGAGGTAAAAGTACATCATGATCACATTCAAGCAAAACGTAGTTGTTAGTGAAATGTAACCAAAAGATGTAAGGATTAGTTCTTTAAGTTATCGAAAAAATTAAATTGCAGATTATCCTTACTTTGGTATTTGCTGCACAAAATGAGCAGAGTTCTCGAGACAGATCAGTATCTGAGGGAGGTCAACAGCCTGCTGATGGTAACATCAATATTCATCACATAGGTAACTGTTTTTTAATATGCTTCTAAATATAACATTATTTACATTGTGAACATCAAAAGATTTTTGTAGTTGCAGTAATTATTTTAAAAGAGAAAGCGGTTCTATGAATTGAAATAAAGAATGAAGCTCAGGCAGAAATTTTCTTTTGACTGATATAAGCTGACCGTTTACTTTTTATGCTGTGAAGTTCAAAATGCGAGTCAATCACGAGCTTTTCGTTTATCTCAGTCTATGAGAGGTAATCAATTACGATCATATCCAGTTTTAAATCCCACAATTCGAGCACCAACAATTATTACAGTTCCAGACATTACTGCTGGGGGAAATCGTATGCCATTCGTGTCTTCAGGTGAGTGAACTTTTTTTTTTTTTATTTGCCAGAATTGTAATGAGTAGAAGTTGAAAAATTGTTACTTCAGGTCCAGTTCATGTACAAAGTGCTCGATTACATGTAGCACCTAATGCACATTCTGGAGTGCGTATGGAAACCTCTGAAACATTCAATTTAAATGCCAATCAAACAGAACGAGAGAATCCTAATGGCCAGTCTGTTTCCTCTAATTCTGCAGGAAATCAAGCACAGTTTGGTTAGTAATTTTTATAATCGTAACAAAAATTCAATTACTTTCCTCTTTTGCTGTTTATACATCATTAGAAGAATTTCTGACTTAGTTTTCCTATAACTTTCTGTGTAGAGATTTTTGTTTTCTGTTCAACATATTTCAAAATTTACATGCTGAGATAGTAAGAGAGGCACATTTGATACCGTTGATCGTTTTTCCTTATCATAAGTTTTCTATATTCAGCCTTCTCTTCAAATATAGATGGAGCAATGAATACTGCTGTTCGTGGTGGTATCCAGAATTTCATCCGAAATATATTGCCAAATGCGTTGGGGAACATGACATCTGTGCAAACTGGTAAAAAGCATACATCATTATTAGTTGAGCATGAAAATGGCCGACACGATGAACTGTATTCGTCATATTTTTTCTTTTTGTCCACTTTATTTTTGGAAATCATTTTAGATTTTGAGAAGCTTAACTATTATTTCATTACTTTTTTTTAAAAATCATCAACGACGCAATTTAAATTAGTGATAACGAGTTAGTAGACGTTAATGACGTTTATTGATTATGTTTGATTTAACATTCACTGTACTGCGAAGTTATGAAATATTTCAGTGCTTTTTAATGGCGAGCAGTGCAGTTTGCAGAGAAACCATTTTTATAAAAAATGCAATTTTCATCATAGATTAGGATCTGTTTAAAATACTGGAATGTATTGTTGCAGCACTATCTAGTACTCAGACTGGTGCAAATGCTAGTCGTCGACGACATCCAGCGTTCAGTGTGCATAGTCATCAGCAGTCTGGGCAGTCAGGTCAGATGCAGCCTTCGGCACGTGCCTTCTTAGGCTCGTCAACTCCTGCATTCCATGGTCCGGGAATCGTTGGACAAGTGATCGTGCGTACAAATGGACCGGCAAATACCGAGGTGATTATGACATTTCTTATTTGATGTAGAACATTATTTTATTGAAAGGATTAAAACTGGTACGGTTTATCACCTTATAAAACAAATTTTTTATTTTTCTTTTCTTTACGACTCAGGCGGCTCGTCGTGCCCTTGATGCTGCAATGCAAGCTGCGACGGCTGCAGTGGGTGAAAACGGTGTGCATGTTCAGGTCAACGGATTGCCGCGAATTATACCGTCTGTAGGCAGAAATAGGTGATTTTTCAGAAATGTAATTTGGGGAATCCTGAACATTCCCGACTCGCTTCAGTGTGTATATTTTATGTACTTGTATATTTGGCAGCTATCTTATGTTAATCTTTTTTTGTTTAAGTTTTTTGTAACATAGTTTTTACTCGAAATTTGCACATATCTGATACTTTGCACCTATTATGGATTGCTTTATTAGTCTGAAATGAATTGTACTGTGCTTTTAAGAAGTAATATTATGTGGGCACGACGAACTTACACCAATCGAGGAGACAGAGAAGGAGGTTTAGAGGTGTGTGTATTTTACAGGCATTTTTCTTTTACAAAATCTTTAAATTTTCATATTGTAGCGAACCTCTGTTAGACTGCATTTAATATGTAGAATCCTTCTGATCCCTTGCCGAATTTTGCTGAGCACATTCATGCAAAAAAAAAAAAAATGCCTAATGTGAGCTTATAATAGGACTGAAGTGAGCTTGTTTCTTTTAAACTGTAATCTTTAAAGATTCATTAAAAAGTGAGGAAGGAATTGAAATTAATTGAATTATTTGAGGAATTTTTTTTTTTTTTTTGTTTTTATAGCATTCAAATGATATGTTTATTGGGCCTAATTATCCAAATGACTCAACAATTTATACGAATGACCCGCATTTGAACTGTCAAAGCAATTTATGTAATCCTCGAGCAAATATTCACAATTCGGCAGCCTATGAAACACTGATAAGTGATTTGTATCAGGTAATGTTCACAGTTAAGCCTTTTTTAGATTATATTTAAGCTACCAAGACCAATCTATGCTTTTGCCTCATCTTATAGTGCATAAATTTGCACTCCATTCAGAAATCAGTTTAGATATTATTTAGCTTTTTTTTTTTTTAAAGAGATCCTTGTTGATGACTAAATTTCGCGAACACAATCTTCTTGTCATTAGCCCTAAATAGAGAATTTCAAGATTTTTGCATCTCAAATGAAACATTTCAGTCTTAATGGAAAATGAGTAAATTATTTTTTCCATTCCAGGCAACATTAAGGTATAAAGAAAGTCTCGATCCCCAATCATCTGAATTTGCTGATGTAGAAGCACTAGTACGTCGTTGGGTTAGTTCTTACAGTGTCTTATTGTGCTATAGATTTCTATATTGCGTCAAAACTACATTCATAATTCAATATTGATTTTCATTCAACAACTTTTGTTGTAGGATCAAGTCAGAGGCATACAAGATTCTGATGCTCATGTTGCCGTTAATCAACGAGGGGAAGCTCTCTTTGAACGCCCAGAACATTTCAAAAACGTTCTTACATCAATGTTAAGACGAGCAGTTGCAAATTTAGCTGATGCAGATGTTGATATTGCTCGTCGTTTGAATGCTTCGCAGGGCGAATATGATGTTTCCAGTATGTTACTATAATTTTTTTTTCTTTTTTGAAATGTAAGAATACTTATTTTTTCAGCTAATGTTAAAAAACAATTCAACTCTTTTATAATAAATCTTATTTTTTAATGAAAGCTTAAAATTCCTTGCATTTACAGATTATGGTATGGTACCGGTAATTAGTACACCACTACATGGGTTCGAAGTTCCCGGCCCGCCAATAGGTTCAATTGAATTAGATTCTGTGGATATTGTAAGTGTTTTATGCTTTGTCAGTGTGAAGTAGGGTTTCTTTCGTTGCGGTTTGGACGAAGCGTTTAAGTAAGTGAACAAGATTACTCATTTTTTAATGTTCTCTTATTTAAGACATGTATAAGCTTCATTTTTTTTTTTTTTTTTTAAGTAAAATTGCTCTATTACAACTTTACTTGTTTTTGTTTAAAAAAAGCCTTCAAACATACCAGACACGTAAGAGGATCTGAAAGGTAAAATCTAAGCTTACCATCTCAAATTATGCTGTTCACTTTTATAGAAAATCGATGTTTTCTAGTAACACAATATTTAAGAAATCATACTGAATCTTGCAGGAGGCTTTTGATCCTTCGCAAGAAATGCAGATGAGAGATGATAACCTGGGGGAGGATTCAAACGCTAACCGTACTGATGCCACCCAAGAAAGTGTTTCGTCAGAAACTGAGGCATCTAATGCTGCTGGTGATGGTAATGTTTTTAAAAAAATATTGAGACGAAATAACAGTGCTATTTGGTATCCTCGCTAATAATTTGACAAATTTTATTTAAAAATAATCTCCTTTGCTAAAACTGCTAGCATTTAATTAATATACGGATAAGAGAAAAGAAATCTGAGCAAACTTTGATATTAACGTATCATTATTAGACTCTTAATTACTAATTCATTATCAAAACGAGTTTTTTCCATTTTCTGTTACAAATACTACGGACTAGGAACCTGTTAGTCTTGACATAGTGGTAAGTAACCTATGATGCTATCAGGTTTTATTGAGCCGATATGGAAAATTTGATATACTGGAAGCTTTTCTCATTTCTTATTGACCCATCGCATTGAAATGGTCAGCTTGGATATCTTGGAACCAGTTTGAAGTTTAGTCAAAGTTTTATCCATTTCTCATCGCATGCACAAGTCGTCCTTATTTTCAGGTAGTTCAACAGAAAATGATTTGAATATTATTGAAATGATAAGGACTTTATCAGATTTGATGCAATCAGGCCGTTCAACAACACTTGCGCAAGTGATGCGTGAGATAGGACAACCAGTTACACGCCTTGATACAGGTTCAGTTTGTTTTTCTGGAGTATTTTAACATCTTTTGCACATGTCCACAATTTCTTTTTGTCTCTTGCTTGTTGCTTGGATTAAAAACACTTGGTTTATCTCATTGTTACAGGCTTTGTAAATTTGGTTATGGTACTGGCATACGAAATATTGCAAATTCCTGAAGTTGTGCAAATATTGAATGGAAATTTCTCTTCTTTAAGCAAAAATCGACATCAAATGCGTCATTTTTTGATTCAGAATGTATTCAATGACAACTGCCGACCATCTGATGAAGGTTTTATTTGTTACTGCTTCATGTCATTGACGTTGGAAATACTGACTATATGTTGTCGGTGTTGCGATATGACCACTGAGAGTGTGTAGCTGTTTCATACTCCTCTATGTTGAACCTATCTTCGGCTAAGTATATAGGGATTATTCCAGTCAGTATATAACTCAGATATTTTCCTTATGCCTAATCTTATCTGCAGTTTTCAAAACAGTGGAGTCGATTTGTAGAATGAGTTCATTTTCTACTGTTGAAAAATGTTAGGATTTTATAGATCTTAAAAATGCTGCTGAACGTGTAGCGTTAGCAGAAGAGAAGTTGGATCGTTTTCTTGCATATAGTGATGTTCATCGTTACGCGGATGTTGATGGCGTTGGTCGAGTAGATCTAGTTGCCAGTGTTTTACGTTTGGAAAAGCGAATTGTAGAAGAATTCTTGCGCCATTTGATGCGTACCGATGATGGTAAATATTGACTTAATACTTTTACTGAATTTGGCAACTTTTTTTTCTACCTCGACGAGTTGCTTTTGTTCAAATTATGAAACAATGTCACGCTAACAATTTATCATTAGATCTAACGCCGGAAGAATACTCGAAAACCATTGTCGATATGTTCACAGCTTATGTTTATCGAGCTGTTCTGCTAACAAATTTGTCAATGAAGGGCCAGCCTTACGACTATGAGAACCTTCTGCTTCGTTTTATGGTTATTTCTCAAAATTTAAACTATCTGTACTTTAATGCAACTATCATTACTGTGAATCATGTTAATATTATCTTTATTGTTGTATTTCTTTATATCATTTTTAGTTTCGTAATTTTTCAGGAAACACCTACAAGAATCACCGAGCAACATCTGTCAGTTTCAATGGCACAGATGAGTATGTCTCATATAAGGCTTTTATTGCGTCGGGAAACTCCTTTCACTGTTCATGACATGATGGAAGATATTGTTCTTGCAAATGAAGGTATTACTTTTTTTTTTCTTTTTTTTTTTTTTTTTTTTGTTGTTCAATGCAGTGAGTACATTGGAAGTTCTTGGTTCATGATTTGAGCTTACTACTTGCCAGATTTGGTTGTGCATTAATATCATGAAAGAAATACATGGTGTTAACTAGTATAACTTTTCACTCCATCAGTCTATCAATTAAATCATCTAAAATTTGGATCGATTTACTGATAGGACAAGTGTCTGGACCAACATGAAACTTTTAAAAATATCTCCATTATGCTTCGGTATTCTTAACTCTGATATTGTAGTTTTCCGGTGGGATATCCAGCTGAATTCCTTCAGACATTATGATTTAAAAGATTGAAATTAATGCGCAAAAGTTTAGATGATCAAACAGCTGAATCGAGCAGTTTTACTATAAATGATCAAACAGCTGAATCGACCAGTTTTACTACAAACAGTGAAGTTGGGTGTGTATCATCGGATTCCTCTTTTAAATGCGATGAGGTTAGTTCAGTAGATTTTGAAATAAAAATTTAATTTAATATTTTAATAAGATTTAACTGTTTTCTCTCTAAACATTTTTCTAGATTATATAACATCATTATTTTTAGTCGGGTAAAGAAAAAGATGATAAAGATAAAAAATCGGATAATCCAAAGGTACAAGATGCGCAAGAGACTGTACCAGGTGGTAGCTGGATGTCTATTTTACCAAAGGTTTACCTTTCTTGAATAATCATTCTGGAATCATGGATTGAAGACTTTTCAAACATTAAACATCTGTTTATGATCTGTTAAAGGAACATTTAGACTAGGGGAGTAAGAGTGTAAGAATAGCGTCCTTAAAATTCTTTCCATGGTAGAAACAGACATGGAACTAGAGAAAGTAATACTGTAAATTAATTGAAATTTTTGACTAATTTTCATCATTTTCTTTTTTATAAGTTTTTAGCGTTATTTATTCATAATAATAATGAAAAAAGTTTTTAGCGTTATATATTCAATAAGCTATTGAGAAGTTTTAATCATTATTTTTGTTGAATGCTGTTTTGTAGGAGTGATGGATTGCGCAGCTATTAATTACTCCTGTTAAAGAAAAGTGAGCATCGATATTTTCAGGATTGGGTCTCCGTAATTCAAGATGATAAGAATCATTCAGTACCTAGAAATGTAAAAGCATTTAGTGATGCTTATTTAGGTGGTTCTTCAACAAAGAGAAAGGTTCATTACAAACAGTAATAATGTTTTTTTTTTTTTTTTTTTTTTTTTTTTTGCCAGGCTTTGTTTGATTCTCAACACTACTGGAATTCAGAGGGACAACTGATTTAATGTTTTCTGGTCTTATACAAATATTTGTGCTTAGGATCTTTAATTTTTAAAGTAACATTGTCAGAAGCTAGCCATATTGTAAAGTCAAGGTATCATCTGTAGTTTTATTTAAGGGAATGAAGGTAACTACAGAAGGCTCTTCGGATGGTATGGTGTCTTCTGCCGTCAAGAGATCTTTGGAGGAAGCTATGTCTAGTTCTGGTTTTACATCTGCAGATGTATGTCCTACAACATGTTTTTTTAAAAATCAATCAAATTCTTTTTGGAAGGAATCAGATTGCAGCTTTCTGCACAAGTATTAAACAAAACTTTATGTGAATGAGAATATGAATTTTATCAATCAAAATTTTGTAAAAACGGTTATGGAATTGTGTAAATAAGAGTGCCACTGATATACACTGAACATTTTAGGTTCCCACTTCGGCTGAAGCAGCAGATGTACTGCAGAATGAATTTGATGATTTGGTACGACAGCGAGTAGCAAACGATGAGAAATTCGAACCTGAGAAATATCCAGAATTGAATAAATTCCTGAAAAAAAAAGATTCCTAATCAGTGGAAATAACAGGGGAAAAGGAGGAGGCACTTATCACTATTTTATTTCCATGCAGTTTTGTCCAATACATTTTACTCGCCTGTAACAAATTCTTATCTATACTTTCTGTTTTGTGCACCTTAATTTAAATATTTATTTAGGAAATGGAAGAAATCTGTCGGTTTAGGTAATGAGAAAAATAAATAATTAAAGAAGCAAAAAAATTTTAAATTATAGGATATAGGAAAAGTGCATTCACCATCATCGGGCCTTTTTTAGTCTCGTTCTTTATGCTAAGCTCAAATTGCCATAATTGGCGATATTCTTATTGAGAAATATATGGATTACCTTTTTTTTCCAATACATATACTTTCGTGAAAAGAATGCCTCAGTCATGCGCATGAATATCACCATTTCTTTTGCTTAGTGGTCATGATAATGATTTTATGATGAAAAAAAAGATTTCACTTCTATGTGTGCACATCACGATTGAGAAACAGAAATAAATGAAGCAAATGTTACGATACAAAATTATCAAACAAAGATATAAAACAACCTGCTGATTTTCAGTGCATAGTCATTTCTTCATTTTCTTTTTTTTAAACAAATCATGTTCTCCTTAAATGTTTATTATGCATCGCTTAATTAAGCAAGCAAAATGAGAATAGAGAACGCCATTTCAACTTTTATCATTCATATCGTATTTTTTGAAGCAAGGTAATCCCTTCGATTAAATACATAGTTATAGGTCGAATGGTTTATGTATATATGATGAGTAATTTTCTAGAACATTCCAAAATTGTTCCGCGAATATGTAGTAAGTTTACATTTGTAATATTGGTCCAGAATACATGAGAATATTAAATTCTTATTTTGGATTATTCAGTGTCATTCAGTTGTGGTTGATCATCATTACGATAGGGTGGCATATAATACTTTTCTGAACTACTTGCATTATGAATGCAAACCAGGAACGACGAATCTACTTACGTGGTGGGTCAAATGTGGCTAATAAATTAATGAAAGCAATGGATGACACTATTGTTAAGGTTTGTTTCATTATCTGAATAATAAAAAAAAAGGAAAAAGATGCGCTTCTATTCATTGAATGTGATTTTGGGTGCAGGAGGAATTCGTTTTTGGTGATCTCAGTGTGACTGTTACTCGTGATCATATTCTTTCATCACAATGCTATCATCCCGAAGCAGTCAATAACTATTGTTCAAAATGTCAGGTTGTATTATTTATATTACTATTCATAGTAAAGAAATAATATTGAAAAAGAAAAATAACATTTTCATAGTTTAGGTTTGTGAATATACTCATATGCTAAAGCTACCACATTTACCGGATATGATATTTCCAAATAATTCGGTAATTATTGCATATCCGGATGAACCAGAGTTGCGAATAAGTTTTAATGCTTTTGATGCGTTAAAATTTGTCGACACCACTTCATATCCCGATGTGAAAGTAAAATAATTTCTGAAATATTAATTTTCTCCGTCAATTTACATTTCTATTAAAATTTCACCTCAGCATCCGAAATGATGTTGCGTATGATTTTAATGAAGTTTGATTAAACAACCAAATCATTCTGTTCTTATCCATTTAATCATCTTATTAATGAGTAGATTAAAATTAACAGTGTAAGCATATCACAAATACTGATGATGGAATTAACATAAAATACAACTTCCAATTTATAATGTACAATAATTTACTATTAAAAGATTGGACCAAGCGAGAAATGGGAGCAATCAATAAGTGATGTGAATCATTTGCAACGAAATAGTCAACCGTTTGATTGGACTTACACAAGTAATTACAAAGGGACCGTGGAAGGTTATATGGTATTATCCCTTCCATGTTTTTGATCACTTCTCCATCTTTCATCTTAACTGGTCAAAAAGAAAAATTCCTAACATGTTTTTTAAGTTGATTTAAGAAATTTGATGTTGTTTTAATATTTTAAAAAAAATTCACAAGTTCGTTTTAGGCAGTACCAACCAAAGAAACGTTTTCGATAGAAAAGCTGAAACGTCGTGATCCGATTAGTTTTTATTCACAGCTGATACTCTATGAAGATGAATTAGCTGATAATGGATCATCAAAGGTGTGTTAACTGAAGATTTACTTTTTTCTTTAAAATGAAAATATATTATTATTCAATTTTATCTCTTTAAGAAAGAATCGGGAATAGAAATTATAATGAAATTTTCTGTTCAGCATTTTAGTCTGAATTTTTGACATTATCTAAAAAATTGACATAAGTACATTTTTGTTTGTCGTATATTAATTTTGTATTTTAAACAAATACTAGCAGTACTTTTTAAACATTGTATCTTCCAGATGAGCATACGTTTGAGAGCCATGCCAACCTGCTTATTTCTTCTCTGTCGTTTTTATCTTCGAATCGATCATGTTTTGGTTCGCATCTGTGATACAAGACTTTATAAGGACCTTGATTCAGACACATTTTTGAGAAAATGGACACATCGTGAACTTAAATGGGCCAATTCATCACCAGTGGTATTTTTTCCTAAATGAAATAATTTGGAAAAAAGATGGAATTTTTGAGGCTGAGGGGTTTTGATTTATTCCGTTATAATTAATCTTTTGGTTTTCTTCATCGAATTTTAGTATTACATCTTAATCTTCTAGGTACGAAACAATATATTAAATCCAGATTTTATTTATAATTATTTGCCAATCGTGGAAGAAGAAATGACAAAACTAATCCCACTACGACATTATACCTGATTAGTGTGCCTTTTTTTTCTTGTTTTATTTTCTAATATCATTTATTCTAATTGGTTCAACTGTAGTCATGCAGCAAAAAGTTGTAATGTGTATTTGCACATTAATATTTTTCAGCATATCCATGTTTTGCTCGAAATTGATAATTTATTTTATAGGTTTTTAATATTATTCAGATGATTTTCTTTTTTTATTAGACTGTAGATTTAAATAAGCAAATATTCAAATGAAGATACTAATTTTGAAACACATAAAAGGAAAAAAAAGCCGTGAAACTAATTAAATTTATAGGTCTCTAGGAAGGTAGTCTTTTTTAATTTCATACATCTATTTTTGCAGTTTATAGAAATTTTCTATATTTTACAGTTTTGATATCTCTTTATGTAATATATCTTTATATCTTTTCCAACTAATATTTCAATATTTACAGTAATATAATTCTTATACTTTGCTATGTTTGAAATTTATGAGTAAATCTTCACTGTCAAATGTGACATTTGAGTCGCTTTTTATAAAAAGTTACTTATATTCACGTAATATTTCAATTAATCATAAACGAATTAATAAACAATCTCTTCTAGTTTCCAAATAATTAAGCATAACGAATGATAAATACAATGTTGTATTAATGAATATTTAAGTACTAAATTTTCTTTCTATTCCAGAATTTTCACTTCCAATTTCAAGTTTATAATAGCAGTAGAAATATGTAACGAATAATTTCCATGTATTGCTTTGAGCTCCACCAAATATTGTTGAGAATTTTACGGAGTATGATGTAATTAATTAAATCTTTGAATATATATGAAAAAATAAAAGAAAAAATTTCGAATTAATGAAAATTTATATTAGTTGAAAAGAAATTTAGAAATAAAAATAAGAAGCCTTTTAAATTATTTCTGTTTTTAAATTCATATGCTATTATAGAAAGAAACGAAAAATGAATTCTTTCATATTATAAATAGGTACAGCAGCACATTATCATTAATTTTATTAAAAAATGAGCAATCATTATAAAATGTGGATTTAACAATTATACTATATTCGGATATATATCGAACTGTACATACATAATATGAGAAATGTAAATATAAAAACGATCAATAACTTATTTCATTTATATGTCAAATTTAAAGTTCTTTAAAATTTATTCTTCTTACATCCAAATTAATGCAAAAAACGAAAGTTGTGTGTATTTGACATATTCAATAATAATCGAATCATCACATAATTCATAAATCTTTCTTTAAATATTTCAAATGTCTAAATTTAAAATTCTTTTTAATGGCGAAAAAAAGAGAAAGAAGAAGCGATTATGAGATAAAATAGAAAATGAAAAAATTAGCTATTGAAATCTCACATAAATTACTTGCTATTATCACCATTTTTTATTCTTAGTTTTTGTATTCAAAATCCTGCAAAGTTAATTTTGAAATATTTATAAATTTAACTTGCGGAATTTGATTTAACACTAGATTTAAAATTTTTATAATTTTGGATGATGTATGAAAAAAATACAAAAAAGAAAAGCATAAAAGCAATAAATATCTATTTGAAAATATTAAAATAAACTAGAAAATAATATAATTTTGTAAAAGAAAGGAATTATCCTATACAATTGTTTAATTATGAAATACAGAAGCAAATGCTTTCTTAACTTCTTCGCGTAATTTCATTTCACCTAAGCGAAAATCGGTAGCAATTTCTACGAATTTGTCATGAATAATTAATTGTGGATTGATAAATTCAATTGAATCCTGAAAGAAATGATTGGAATTTATTGAATGGAGATTAAAAGAAATAAATTGCACTTTTTTGTTTTCTGAAGGATTGAAATAATACTACGATAAATCACATTTTGAATAATTAATAATCAATAGTAGTAAATTTTCCTTCCTTTTCTTGGTTTTATTTCTGATGACATCCATTTAAAAATTTTAAATCAATGCTGAATGCAAGTTTCATTAGGTTGATAACATTTAAAAGGAAATGTCTTTTTTTTAAAAAAAAAAAAAACAGTTTTACGGATGATCTAATATATTTTACAATTATTGAAAAAAAAAAAGAAAAAAGAATGAATAAATTCAATTTTCAATCAATAATCATCAGTAAGTTATAATTCATAAAAGATATTAGATTTTAGATAATTTACACAATTATTAAATAGTGAGTCTAAAAAATTTGAAATATTTTTCAATCAAAATAAATTAACCTTTAATGGAAGTGGGATACCATTTTTTAATGCTTTAACAAGTTGTGGTCCAAGGAATGTTTTGGCTAATGGAGCAAGTTGTGCAATTGAATTACTAGTAAGACCTTTTATGGCACTTCGATGTAATCTGAAAGCAAAACTTTTGTTTGTTTATTTATTTATTTTCTTTTTTTCTTTTATTCATGTTTTTTGTTTTCTTAAACATTAGCAACAAAATATATTGTTTAGCATAACTTGTTGTAATAATTTCTACTTTATGTCTAATTATGCTTAATAAATATTTAACAAAAACTTGCTTTAATGAAATATAATTTTCAAGATTGTTATCGAATTTAAATAATTTGCAGCAATTTTTGATTAAAATAAGACAAAAAGAAAGTATGATTTAACTGAACCTTCAATAAATTTATTTTTAATTATTATTCAAATAAAAACATTATATTCCAAAAAGAAAAAGGAGCAAATTTTTATTACCTTATATCAAATTTGTTAATTTTTAAAGCTGCAGCAAATTTTTCATCTTCAATAAGTAATCGAAAATCTGCTTGAAGATCCGCTGTGCTAACCATAATTTGTTTTTTTCTACTACCATCATTTATATATGTTAGCACACGATCTATATTTTATTAAACATCATTAAAGTAATTTTTTTTTCATTTTAGTTTAATTAAATTCAATTTGTTTTTTTTTTTCTCATATTAACTTAATTGTAATTTTTTTTTAGATTATAATTTCGTAAAATTTATAGGAAAAGTAAAAAAATAAAAATTAAATAATAATAATAAAAGAAGTAAAACGAACTTTTTAAATCAATAGAGCCTGTATCTTTGGAAAGTCGAAATTCAGGTATTTGATGTGGTAATAATAAGAATGATGATGATGCATTGGGATAACGATTAGCTATTTCTGGTATTAACATACCCAAACAAAAGGATGATCCAAAATTTCCATTATGTTGTGAATTTTCACAGCTTGTTCGAACAATTGGCTTATATTGTATTGGTAAAATATTTTCATCAATCTATTATTTAAAATAATAAATAAATTAATGAAAAAATTTTAATTTGGAGGAGAAAATTTAATTTTTTGAAATTTAAAAATATGAATTTAATTTAAATGAAATTAGATAAGAAATAAACAAAAACAAAAAAAGTATCGTTTTTTCTTTTCTTTTGTTTTTACCTCAACGATCATCCGATCACCTTCATATGCATGATAAAGAAGTGAATTGAAGAGATATTCCGAACCGTAAAAATACAACATTCTGGATGAATCATTTCCGGTACGCATTACTGGAGCATTAAATGGTGTTGGACGATGATCATTATCGTATTTAATTTCACCTCAAGAAAAAAAAAATTTTTTTTTTAATTTTTTCTGTTTTGTTCAACTACATCTAATCCAAAATTATAAACATAAGTAATTCGCCTTTTTTTTTTCTTTTCTTTGAAAATTAAATTTTCTTTACACATAGAATACTTTTTTTTCCAACTTTAAATAATAAATGTTGTTTATACTTGGAGAGAATAATTATTGCATAATGTTAACTGCAATATATACGTACAATTATATTATATTGATAAATAATATTTTTTTAAATTACTTTGAAAAATAACATTGCAGTATGCATTATTCGGACAAAAATTGTAAAATTATTTTATATTAGTTAAAATAATTGCAAAATTTTTGTTCAAAGTCTCTTTTTTTTGTTTCAACAAATTTTTAAAATATTTTTAATAAGAATTTGAGCAGAAAGAATTTGAGCAAACCTTTTTGTTGTGTTTCAAAATAATCCGATGTAACAATTGGATCATTAATATTACGATTGTCAATGTATAAACCATTAGTGAGACGACGAAAAAGTTTGCTTACAATCATATTATCGACCAAATTAATAGAATTAAAATGATCAGTTAAATTTGTAAATGCTAAACGCTGCAAAAGAAGAAAACAAAGGAGTAAAAAATATTAATATTTTCGTTTTTTTCTTCTTTTTACATTCATTTTATCATTACCATTATTTTAATGCCTAATATTATTATCGTAAAAAATTTTGTAACATTTTTAGTTTGATCATGCGAATTTCTTTTGTCTAATAAATTACTTTAGATAAAAATTAATTCAAAAAAAAATTTTTTCCTTTGAAAACTTAAAAATTTTAGATAAGAAAAAAAATTTTTTTTAAAGTCATACGAATAAAAAAGAAGAAAAAAAATGGAAAATATACAAAACTTCATATTTTATAAATGATGAAAAAATTTTAAGAGAAACTCCATTAAAATGCTCGTTTCAAAATAAAAATTCTTTATTATTTATCATTTGGCTATCACGCTTTTATAGAAGGAAATGATAACAAATAAAAAAAAAAAAAATTGTTAAATGTTTTATAAAATATTATTACCTGAAAAAGACTTGGTGAACTATTTTCAATAATTTTTTGTAAACTATTACAAAAAACATTTGGAATTTTTTGTCGTATTATTTCATTAATTTGTGCCTACAATTGACAAGTAAATTATATGGATAAGATAATAAATGATTAATGTAAAACAATGATAAATTCATCAATAAATTTAATCATAGGTTGTTCCACAAGATTTTATTGAAAAAATATTTGGTTTAGTATTCAAAAGTTAAAAAATATTTTCATCTATTATTTCAATTTATCATTAGGAAATATTATAATATATATTATAAAGATTTTTTCGCTCATTTTTTTATTTCATTTCAAAATAATTATAAAAAGATAGGAATGAAATTTATTAATGAAATGAAACATTTTTCTTTAGTTTCTCTTTCATTCTCACTCTCTTAAATAAACTTTCTACCTATCTAATAATTATTAATATATGCAATCATTACTGTGTGATAATTGATAATTATTAGAAAGATTAAATAAAAGAAAAAATTATCATATATCAATCACTTTTTACTAATTTATAATTATGCAAAAATTACGAAAACGATAAACTGCTAGCACCTCAATCATTTTTACAAAGCCATTTAATGCACCATTAGCACTTATGGAAAAATGACTGAAATGAACGATGGTAGTACAGCCAACAACCTGAAATGAAATGATAAAGAGAAAATTTGGGAAAGTAATAAAAGATATAATAGGAGAAGTAAAAATGAAATATCAATTCAGAAATTATATTTTTTACAAAATTTAAATAAAAATTATATTTGAGCTACCTTCACTTCCATCAAACCATTCATAGCTTTGCTACATTTTGTTTGTAGTCGAATGCTCATTTGTCGTAAGTCACCTGTTACGGAACCGGTTACTGGTATCAGTGCTACTGTTCCAGCAAATCGTCCAGCTAAACTGAAATTATTTTGCAACTATATAAATTATTGATTTTTTTTTTTTTTTTTTTTTTTTTTTGCATGTTTATTTTATTTCAAATAATTAATAATTTTCCAATATTTGGTAAAGGACAAGCTGGCAGCGGTGTGATGAATTTTTTACCTGAAACTAAATCCAAATGAAGCTTGTTGAATTTATAAAATTCACTAAAGAATAGATGAGAATTGCCCAATCATTTGAAGATTTATGAGATTATCGAATTGTATAAATTAATCTGGAAAGCCTTCATAGCCGTTTCATTATGTAATTGTAAAAATTTATTCATATTTTATTATTAAATATACGTAGTATAAATAAAATTATCTTACTCGTTTATAAGATCCATGCAAACAAACACTATCATTAATTAATTGAAATAATTGAAATATAATTGAAATAATTGTAATGTTATTAATATTACAATAATTGAAATATTAATAATAAAAACAAACAAAACAAATAAATAAACAAATCTTACGCTATATCCATTCGATCCATTTGAAAGATAACATAGGATGGTGAAACAAATTCCAGTGAAGTGTGCTGCGGTGGTGAATAACGTAATACGTTAACATTATATAGTTGAACTCGTCCTGTTACACCTAAAATTATCATTATTATTTAAAAAAACTTATCACTCAAAAGTATCACTTAACTACTTAAATAAAAATGTATTCGATTAAATGAAGTGTGTATATTCCAATTATTAAATAATTTAAAAAATAATAGCAAAATTTTTGACCATGCTCAGAGAATGAATGCATTGTTTGAAATCCACTTAATTGTGAAATTTCCTCATTTAAAATTTTCACACCAACTTGTTTGATATGTTCTGCACCACTCTTTGTTAATCGCACTTTAACTGCTGGCCAACCTAAATTATTTCTCTTGAATTATTAAAAAATGAAAAATGAGAAAAAAAACAAATGACAAAAATTATCAAAAAATAAGTTCATTTAATTAAGGATTTAAAAAAAAAAAGGAAAAAATAAATGAGGTTAAGTTGTGAAACGTAAAATAATTTATTGCTTTATGTTTTTTTCACTTTTTTTTAAAAAAAAAAAAGAATTATTAATAAAGGTTTATTTTTCAGTGTGTGACACTTTCAATGATTAATTCTTGAAGATAAATTTTAATAGGAAGGAAAAAATAAATTGCAAAAAAAATCTAATATTAATAGTAATATTTGTTTAATATTTGTAAACTAACATTTTAAACCATTAACTACTATTTATAAGGTCTGATGCAAAAACTGTTCAATTATTTATATAAATTTTGATTAATATTGAATTGTTGATCAACTAAATATAATACATTTGAAAAATTAAAAATTATAATAATAAGTAAATCATTTAAAATGCAACAATAAAATTTGAAAATGATTATTGTTTTTGAAATGCTGTTAATTTTGTTCAGAAAATTTTATAACATATCTTTCAAATATTTTTGTTTTTCATGTTTATATATATATATATATATATATATATATATATATATATATATATATATATATAAATTAGATACTATCATAGAATAAAAAAATGATGATAAATTTTTTAAATTATCAAAGAATTTTCACAACTTTTTTCTGAAATTATTAAAAAAAAAACGAATCACCTGGTGCATTATTCCATTTTGATGGCTTTTCAAAAACAATACGGCATTCTGCTACTAATAGAAGCAGAAATCCTATTAACTGAATGATTGCAGACGAATGATAAACCATACAGAAAAATAATTCCGGTTTTTTTTTCCGGATTTTTTTTTATACTGGATAATAATCACTCAAAATGATTATCTGATTACCGTATGTAGTATGCCTTTTGTGATAAATTCCTTTAAATGAATATTTTTAATTTTCACCTTTTTTCAGATTTCTTTTTTATTTTTCTATAAAAATTAAAAATTGAAAAAGTAATGATAAATAAATAAATAAAGAGAAAGAAATAAGAGAAGAAACAAGGGAGAAAAGCAAAAGTGGAAGGAGACAGAGAGAAGGAGAGGGAAAAAAAAGGAATAAAATGAGTTGAGTGGTTTACTCTTGATGATGTACCGATTGACTGACAAGGTATGAGAAATTTTTGCCTACCAAACATGATGACGATTATCTGTCGGTCATCTTGTCATCATTATTATCATTGTCGTTCTTATCATAGTATCGAGCCAACATCACCTTCAATAATTTTACTGATGATCATCTCCGAAAATTTTTCAAAACATGATAAAGATTCCGCTACTTGTTTTCCTATTCAATTCAAATCATCCGCTATCTCATATCTATTCATTCATATTATTACATATACAAATCAAATCCACTGTTCTTCTTTTCAAAACCAGAACAAATTTGAAAAGAGTTTTAATTCTTTATATTTCATAACGTTTGGATTATCGGTAAATTATAATGGTTAATAAAATGATTTAAGTTATTGCTCTTATCATCAATATTATCACTAATAGCATTGTTACCATTATAAAATTATTATTGTTACCACCACTGTTACCATTATCATTATTATTATTATTATTATTATTATTATTATTATTATTATTATTATTATTATTATTATTATTATTATTATTATTATTATTATTATTATTATTATTATTATTATATTATTATTATTATTATTATTATTATTATTATTATTATTATTATTATTATTATTATTATTATTATTATTATCACAAAATCATCAGTATCATTAATATTTTGGCGAAATTTTTCTTCATCTTATAAAGTAATCATGAACATTTTACCACTTATTGTTAATACATTCCCTCATTCTCTTCCTCTTATCAAGAGAAGATGCAGTGACTGAAGAGATTATTGTGATAACTTTATAACATTGAAATGAAAATACATGATCAAATTAGTGGTACATGAAACTGGATTTTTCTTTCCTTTTCACAACTATTTGTTTTAGATTTCGGGTCAAATTAAGTTCAATTTCAAAGATAAAGAAAAAATGGAAAAAACAGTGGAAGAAGGTGAACGTGGACAAGAAGGGTAGATGGATAAATAAAAATGAATAATGTACAAATATTTAAATTTTCTTTAAAAAAAATAATGAAAAAGTTTATTAGTTGGATAATTAATCAGCAAAATATTTAATTTATTATTTAATCAAATTTATCATTTTTAGATATAAAAATATGCCTGTGTGGGTGTGTTTCATGTTAACAACAGTTAGTTGATTCTATAAATTAATTGTTAGCAAAAATTTACACTATTTTTAAAAAGTGAAAGTAATGGAGGGGAGAGAAGATAAAGGAAGGGGGAGAGAGGAGGACAGAGATGGAAGGAGGTGGAGGAAGGGGAAGGAAAGATAATGCACAAAGACATTTCACAATTCTTCCAGGAAACAACGTCGTTAAAAATTATTTCATTTTGAGTGTATGTGTATGTGTTTTAAGGACGGGATTAAACCGAAAGGATACGAAAAGGAAGAAAATGAAAGGAAAAAGGGGAGGATTAATTGAGCGATAAACTTATCTAAGTGTGCACTTTAAAATGAGTTTCAAAGATTTTAAAAAAAATTGAAACATTTTTCCTAATGTTATATGAGAGCAAAATGGACATTCTTTTTTGTGAAAACGATGGCGAGAAAGAGAAGGAGGGAAATTTAAAAAAAAAAAAAAAACGAAAAACAGTAGAAGGAGAAGCAAAAAAAGAACGAAAGAAAGAAAAAATGAAAAGGAGAAACTATAGGATTATTACTGATTTTGCTTTTAAGCAAAAATCTTTTAAGATTTGAACAGTTGCTTATCACTGTGTTACATTTAAAAATTAAACCAACTCTATGTATTTAGATAAATATTTATTCATTAACAGATAATTTTATGTGAAAAAACCTTTTTTGATTAACAATTTATTAATTTCAAATCTAAATTATAAATTAATCGACTGCAAAAAAAATTTTTTTTGTGCAATTTTCGCAATGGATTACTCTCTTGTTCCTTTTATTTTCTTTTTGCCTTTCTTGTTTGTATAATTTGTTATTGACAACGCATTAATTAATTAATTAAAGTATTTGATTAAAGTAAATATGTTCCAAATAATTGTTACGCATATCATATTTATTACATAAAACTTTTGCTATTAAATAAGAAATGTATGCCAATTAATATTTGAATAATTTTGATATGATATATTGATTTGATAGTTGAATATAAACTTAATTTTTAGACAAAAAATCTTGGAAAAAATTGAAATTATATATTATTTAAGTCGGAATAAAATAAGAATAGCTTATTTTTTGAAAACATTATATATATGGTTATTTGATTTTATTTATGCATAAAAATTTTAATGTATAGTGGTTAGTTGGGTAAATTTTAAAGAAAATTAATAAAAATTAACAATTTTATTTCAATGATATTATCCATTCATTAATTTTTCTTATCTTCCAAAAGATTTTATTATTTTTAACGCGAAAAATTTTATACTTATTCAAAAGGTATATGTTTATTCCTCTTCTCATTTTATAAACTTTTAATTTCCATAAATCTTTTAGAAGTTGAATGTACGATTTTCTTTTATTTTTTGTTTCAAATAGCGATTATCTTTTTTTTAACAAACTTTTTTTTTATTCCAAGAAAATGCTTAGTTATGACATCAATTTGAAGCGTATGCACATAATAATTATTTCTGACAACAAATTTTTGCAAAAATATAACAAATGTAGGGATAAAGTATTTCAAAAATGTAATTTAAATGTTGGTAATTTGAAGATTATTGAAACTAAATGAATATGCTGGAAAATATAAATTCTTTTAAACTTTGGAAAAGCTAAAAGATATTAACCTAACTTTGACAAAATTTAATTTTAAACTAACACATTATTTATTTAGAGTTCTACCTATTGAACCAACTTTCAATACATAACAAAACACTTCATTGTACAATAATACAATATCACATCATCTAGTCTTATCACATCTTATATCATATTATCATATTCAGAATGCAATCAACAGCATTCAGGCTAGTTTCATTCCGTAATTTTTTCCTTTTATTCATTTTTTTTAAGATCCTGTCTTATACATTTAATCAAATGCTACATTGTTAAGAAACGAAAAATGTTAATTCACCTTTCTTTTCTGTCATTTTCCTAACAAAACTTTAAAATTTATCAATCAGCATAGGATAAGATATTACTTAGTATATTGGTTTTGAAAAATGAACAACTGTTTTAAATCATAGCACATTAGTAAATTTCTTTTCATCATTTTTTCTTTTTTTTTGTAGTTAAAATTTCTTTCAAAAAAAAAAAGAAAGAAAAAAATTTTTTAAAAAAGGCAAAATAAAAATTCCATTATCTATTTTTGTCTCTCTCTTTCATCTTTTGCTAGAATTTTTTTTGATCATTTAGGAATTAATAATTTTATTTAATGTTATAGATTTCTTGAAGTGTCAACGGAATATTGTCATTCCTCGAACGATTATGAGACAACAATTTGGATAAAAGATCCAGATGTTGAATTTCGTTGTGCAACAATTCTCGAGGAATATGACGATAATGTTATTGTTGGTCTTCATGATGAAAATGGTCATTTTGAAAAGGTTAATTAATTAGCATTCTTTTATTTTTCTTAATTAGGTACATGAATTAATTTTAAATTTTCTTAGTATTTTAAAAATTTTCTTAAATAAATTAATGAAAAAAAGTAAGAATTTAGAATTTGAAATAAAAAAAGCTTGTTTTAAAATTATTAATTGATTCAAGCAAAATAAATTTTTAGCGTGTTATACCAAAATCAGAGGTGAATTTATCAAGTGTGTCATATTTTGTTGAAGATATGTGTAATCTAAGTGAATTAAATGAAGCATGCGTTCTTGAAGTCATTCGTTCACGATATAAAGCACAACTTATTCATGTTTCTTTTTCTTTTCTATATTTTATTTTTTATCATAATTAATTATAGCAATTACATCATCAAAAAACCTTTACAAAATTTTTGAAGGAAAAAAATTATTTTTTTTGTTAATATATAAAAAAACAAGTTTTTTTATTTTGGTAATATATTTTTTTTTATCAATTTATATTATCTAATTTTATTTATTGTGTATGTAATTTTCTTCTTTGTTTTTTCTTCAACTTAATTATATCTAATTTTTATTGATAAAAAATTGAATTTGTTTCTTTTTTTTTGTTTCTTTTTTTTTCGATAGACTTATTCGGGTCTCTTTTGCCTTGTTGTTAATCCATGGAAGAATATACCGATTTATACGAAGGAAATAATGAAAGCATATATGCATAGCACTGATAAAAATTTAAATTTACCACCACATATATATGCTATTGCTCAATCTACTTATGATGGCCTTTTAAGTGGTAATAATCAATCAATCTTAATAACGTAAGTTTTTTTATTTTATAATTATATCATTTACATTGTAATTCATTTAACCGTCATTACATTTAATTTACATCATTTTATTATTCAATATTATCATTTTTTTAATTTAATTTTAGCACTTTTTTATCCAAATCTTAGCATTTTTATAAAATTTAAATTCTTATTTTAAACAATTTAATTTGTTAATTTCCTTTTTCTAAAATAAAGTGCAAAAAATTTTTTGTTTGAAGAAACAAATTTAAAAAATGAAAATTTCCTTGTAACCTGACGATTTGAATTTATTAATAGACTTCCTTTTTTTCCTGAAATAAAATGAAAAATATTTGTTTTGAGGAAAGAAATTAAAAGAAAAAGGGAGAAAGAAAAGCCTGGCATAAAATGCTTTCTTATAAAGTGATAAATGACTTAGAAAAAATTAATGATATTTTTTTTAAAAAAAAAAAGATGAAAATTAAAGTGTGATGGAAGTGATAACAGATATTTACCACTTTAATTACATTTTATCATCCTAAAGTATTAGCTTTAGCTGCAAATACAAGATTTTGGAATTTTTGGTTTTTTTTTCTTTTTCAAAAAATATTAAGGACAGTTAAACTTTGAACAAATTAATATAATTGATTATATAAAAGCAATCAAATTTTACTGTCACTAGATTTAAAATTGAAAGAAAAAAATATTTATAAGAAAAAATGGATGTTTGCAAAAAATTAAACTTTATAAATAATTTCTTGCCATTGAAATTTAATGTTCAATTGTAATAAAATTAGGAAGATTTGAAGTTCGATTATTGCTAATATTTAAAAAAAAAAAAAACAAAAAAACTAGCAAAATAAAGTTAAAATTTAAAGAAAACGAAAAAATATACAGACGACAATGATGTTTAATGAAAATCGTATAAAATGAAAGAAAAATTTAATTATGAGAATATAATTTAAAATCATTATAACCAAGTTTTAGAGGTGAAAGTGGAGCAGGTAAGACTGTTAATACAAAACGAATTATTGAATACCTTGGTGTATTATCCGAATATCGCGGTGAATTTGGAATATCCGACGGTATCGATAAACGACTTACAGCTGCCGGAATTGTCATTGAAGCATTTGCTAATGCATCAACAATTCATAACAGTAACAGCTCTCGACTGGTATTAAATATTTTGTTGTTATTTTTACAATTAAAAAATTAGAGTCAAACAAACGCATATTTGTTTTATTAAGTTAAAATTATTTAAAATTTTGTGTTTTGAAGAAAAATTAAGATTTAGAATGCGTTTTTTTCTTTTTTTTTGCAATATTTAATTTGAAATTATAAAAATACGATTTATGAAGTGTTACCATACAACAATGAATTATTCATAAATTTGTTAATTATTATTATTAATTAAAGGGAAAATTTATTCGGATAGATTATGGTGATGATATGACGATGAAAGGTGCTCAAATTCAAACGTGTATGGCATACATATATTTCATTATTTTTTATTGTCTTTTTTTGCTTTTATTTCTTCTTGAAAATTGGAAAAATTTAACTTTTTTCTTTCATATAGATTTGCTCGAAAAATCACGCGTTGTAAAACAAAATAATGATGATCGGAATTTCCATATTTTTTATCAGTTGTTATCAGATGGCTTTGATAAGGATTTACGTTACTCGTTTGGCCTTGGACAAAAAGCTAGTGCATATAAGTTCTTAAATCAAGGTGGCAAAATTACGGATCCGGAAATTGATGATGCCCAAAGTGCTATAGACACATTGGTAAGTAATAATGGAATGTAATTAATTATTACATTGTTACTCTTGTTTACTTGCATTTTTATAATTTTGTGTATTTTTTTTTTCCTTGCTTCCTAATATTTATTTATTTTTGATTAAATATTTTTTGAAATATTTTAAAAATAATTAGTCATAGCTTTGTATACAATTATTGATTTTCATAGTTTATATGTAACTTTAAAATTTTAGAGAGAATTAAAATTTCTTAACTACAGCGTGCAATGGATACTATCAAATTTAGCAAACATGAAGTAGAGGAGATTTTCGAAGTAGTAGCTGCATGCATCCTTCTTGGTGAAATCAAATTTACTGAAAGAAGCGGTTTTGATATTACTTATGTTGATGGTGTTAAAGGTTAGCTGATACTTTATATGTATCGTTTTTTTAATATTATTACAAGCTTTGTTGCATTTTATCTATTTATTATTATTATTACCACTATTATTATTATCGCTATGTTATCACTATTATTGTTATTATTATTATTGTTATTGTCATTATTATTATTACTACTGTTACTACTAATAATAATTACTATTATCTTCATTGTCACTATTATTACCATTATTATTAATTTTTATTATTATCACAATTGTTTGTAATATTATTTATTTAAAAATTATCCCAATTCTTCTTTATTTCAATTAATTTATGTATTCAAACAATATGAAATTATTTGCAGAAGTTGAAGCAGCATGTCGCATTCTTGGTGTCAAAACTAACACTCTTATTGATGCTTTAACTCAACCATCAATAAAAGTGAATGATGTGGTAATTAGAAAAAGTCAAAATCTTACAAAGGTTATGTAATTTGCAATTAGTTCTTGCCAATTTTAAATCAGTTTTTAATTATTTGGTAAATTTATTAAATAAACAAAAATTGCCCAAATTGTGATTTCTAAATGAATTCAATTCCATAACATAAACAAATTTTTCATTTTTTTAATAATTTTTAGCTCTAATTAATATTAAATTGTTCGTTCTTTTTTTTCCAAACTTAAGAATTAAAATTCAAAAAAAAAAATAAATAAATAAATAAAAATTCAATTTTTCAGACATTAAGTTCACTGCTAGGTTTATGTAAAAGTATTTACGAACGACTCTTCAACTGGATTCTGTCACGATGCAATGCGGCACTAAATGAAACATTTCATCGTAAGTAATTTTTCTAGATGAATGGAGAAAATTTTTTGATGAGAAAATTCGAAAATGTCGAAATCACATCCGGAAATATCGAGGAATTAGAGAAATTCAAAACAAAGAAAAAAAAGTAATGAAGTTTTATAAATTTTTCCTTTTTAATAAATATTACTAAATTGTTGTCGTATTGAAATTGTTTAGCTAGTAAATCATTGCTAACTTATTATATTGGCGTACTTGATATTGCTGGCTTTGAAATTACTAAAGTAAGTGTTATCATTTTCATCCTGATAATTGGTAAAATTTTTTTAATTTCTCAAGAATCATATCAAATTATTTTTAAGTTTTGTATTTTCTTTTATTTAAAAAATTTTGAAATTACTGAAGTTTCATTCTGAAAATATGAAAAAAGCGAGAATTTGTAGTTTATATCAATTTGTACTATTTTTAATGAATTAACAATACAGAATTACCCAAAAAATTGCCTTTTTTCATATTAAATCACATATATTTTATTTAAAAAACGAATTTCTTTTTTCAAATTTAAAAAGTTAATTTAGTAAATGAATTCGCTATTAAATTTGCTAAAACTTCATCAAAGCACATGTTTTTATTACTTGGATTATTGTTTGCTAATATGATAGTTTATAGCATTTTTTGTATGATAATACATGTAATTTATAAGTTTTAACTTCATTTAATTTTCATTTATTGAATTATTGTAAGTAATAAATTTTAAAAGTATTTGTTAATTATTATTTCTTTTTTCCTTTTTCCGCTTCTTTTTTTTTGTAGATGAATAGCTTTGAACAATTTTGTATTAATTATACGAATGAAAAATTGCAACAGTTCTTCAATGATTTCATGTTTGTACGTGAACAACAAGAATATTTAAATGAAGGAATTGAATGGCAATATGTTGATTATGGCACTGATATGCAAAATACCATTGAATTTATTGAAAAGGTTATTTGTTTTTCTTTTCCCTTTATATCGTATTTAAATATTTTAATAAATTAATAGTTATTTTAGTTTGTATAATTAATTACAATTTATAATTATTTTTTTGTATTGTTTAAATGTTTTGATAAATTGGTAGTTATTTCAATTTATATAATTAATTACAATTTATAATTACTTGCTTTTTCTTTTTTCTGTATGGATAAGTGGTTGTGATGAAGTAGTTTGATTCCCTTAGTTGGAGACAAGGTAGCGATTCTGTAGTTTTATAATGAAATAGATTGTTATGTGTATGTATCCGGATTGGTCCAATTGTGGTTTACTTATTGTATGATCTGATCAGGTTTATTCAAGTATTTCATTGAATTAAAACAGTTATTCCAACTTACATAAACTACTGTTTATAATTTTTTTTTTTTTTTTTTTTTGTATTCAAATATTTGTTTAAATTACAATAATTATTCTAATTTACATGATTAATTGTAACCCTTTTTATTTTATTTTTCTCCCTTTTGCACTCAAATATTTCCACCAAATTGATTTAATTATTTTAATTTGCACAATTTATAAAATGTATAAATCTTCATTTATCAAATTGGTCAAATTTTTCATATATTTAACAAATTTATATAAATAAAATTTGATTCATCTTTTTTTTAAATTTTATTTTAGCCATTAGGATTGCTCTCACTCTTACAAGAAGAATGTCTTGTACCAAATGGTAATGATCAATCGTTGCTTGAAAAACTTCTTTCGGCAAATGCTAACAATACTATCTTCACTCGTTCAAGACAATCAGCAAGGTTAATGTTTAGAATTAAACATAATTTTTTTTTGTTTGTTAAATTTTTATTTCTCGAATAAAAAGAATCAAATTTTTAGAAGTTCATTTTTTACTTTTGAAAGAAAAAAATAAAAAATCATGTTTTTGGAATGGAAAATTTTCAACATTTCATTTCTTTTTTAATTTTTCGATTTTAAATTTTAGTCTTTTTTTTTTTTTGCAAAATATTAAAATATTATTAATATTTTAGACATACTACAGCATCACATTTTTCAATAGCTCATTACGCGGGTAATGTAGCATATAATATCAATGGTTGGGTTGAGAAGAATAAAGATGTGTTAGAACGAAATGGATTAGAAGTACTTGCATCAAGTACCAAACCTCTTCTACAAATTCTTTTCCCTTTATGTTAGTTATAATAATTATAAATTATTTTTTAAGAAAATAAAGTAAAAGAATAAAAAAACACCCATTTTATCAAATATATCTACAAAAATTTTATTGGTTAATTGAAATGATAAAAAGATGATAATTAAATTTACAAACTAATTTTAGCTTTTCCTTTCCTTTTTTTATACAATTATTCGTAGATTATTTTTAAAATATTGTTAGCTCATTTGCCTAATGTTTCTATTTGTTTATTTATTAATTTATTTCAATTTTTTTTAAATTTATAAGACGAATGATTGTATCTATGATATATTAGATAATTTTTAAACAAATGCTTTTACTCCTTTATAAATTGCTAATGATTTTTTGTGAATTATTGATTATTTATAGATTTCAATGCATTTTTACACTTAATTTATTTGCAAAATAATCATTTCTTTCTTTCTTTTTTTATTTTTTTGAATATTAAAAATATGATTTAAAAAGCAGTAAACTTTTAAAATTGTAGTGGAAGAAGAAAAAGAAAAATCACGATCTAAACGGCAATCGATGTCATCAAATACCGTTTCATATTTGTATAAAGTAAGATAATTTATTATTACAATTAAATTTATTTTTTTTAATTTGATTATTTAAGAAATGATCAATTTATCTTTTATAAATAAATGAATTTTTTTAGGAGCAATTGTTAAACTTACTTCAAACACTTAACTCAACAGTGGCACATTTTATTCGTTGTATTGCACCAAATAAAACACGATTACCAGGTGTTATTGATTCACATCTTGTGCTTCATCAATTAAGGTATATATTAATAGTACAAAATTAAAATATATATTGATAATACAATATTTATTATAGTACATGTAGAATTATTGATGGGATACTTTGTAACGAAATATTCAGTTTTATTGATGATAGTGAATAATTTATATCAAATAATTTTAATCATAAAAGAAATTATTATTTGAAAGTTAATAATGAATTTTTATGTATAATGTCAAATAAACATTATTTCAGATGTAATGGTGTATTGGAAGGTCTTAGAATATGTCGTCAAGGCTATCCTAATCGAATGACATTTGATGAATTTATTATAAGGTATCGTATTTTGGCAACAAATGTTAGTCTTGGATATGGACAAATTGCTGTTAAACGTTTCTGTGATGCGATCAATCTTGATTCAACATGCATACAAATTGGAAAAACAAAAGTTTATTGTAAAATTGGTGTAATTTCAGAAGTATGTTTGTTTATTTGTTTACTCGTTTATTCGTCGTTTACTTGTTTGTTTGTTTGTTTTATTTGTTTATTTGCTCGTTTGCTGTATTTGTAAATATTAAATTTGAAGTTTTATTTCTAAATTTCTTAAATTAGGTTAAAAATTTGACATGAAATAGATATTATATTTTTCAGTTAGAAAATCGTCGTAAAAAACATTTAAGTGAGTTAATGTGTGGAATACAAGCATCAATACGATGGTATTTGGAACAACAGCGCTATGAAGAATTACTTAAAAATAGGTATTTAATATATTTTACAAAAAAAAAAAAAAATGTTATTTTTTTTTTCAAAAAATTGATCAAAGAATTATTTAATTCATTTTATTATAACATTTATTAATAATATTTTTTTTTTCATAAAAAAAAGTGATGGTTAATTTTCAGAGAAACAATTTTAACCATTCAAAGTAACATTCGATGTTTCACTCAAATTTCCACGTGGAATTGGTATCGACTGTTATTGATTGTAAAAGAACTTATACCATTGAATAAGGATAAAGTAAGATTGGAAGAATTGTTGAAAATAAACGATGAGTTAACAGAGGTATATTATTGTTATCATATTTTAATTGTAACAATTTAATATTAATTTCATTTGATCAATCTAAAAAAATTAAATTAGATTTGTTAATTTTAAATTGGATTTAATCGAAATAATAAGATAACACATTATTATCCTGAACGGCAATGGCAATGATAATACCAGTGTGTTTTATTATAGTTATATTAATTTAATAATGATTAATTTCATTTCAGTTTTTTCAGGAATTAAACAATTTACATGGTAATTATGATGAAGTTCGAAAATTATTGGATAAAGCTAATTGTAAAATTAAAAATGTATGTTTTTGCTTCAAATATTTATTTTGTTTCTCTTCTTTATTTTGGTTTTGTTTTCACTCTTATTTTTTTCTTTCAAATTAGATTTACCTTTAAATTCTTGCAATGTAATAAACCAAAAAATTAATTGAAATTTTAATTAACTAAATTATTTTGTCTTCTCTTCTTTTTCTCTTTTTTTTTCTTCCTTTCAGCTTGAAGATGAAAAAGAATCGTATATTTTGCAAAATGCTGAAATAAAGGAAGAATTGACGCAACATGAAGAACTTATGGAAATGATGGAGAAAAAATTTGATGAACAACATGCTAAAGTTATGGTAAAAAAGAATTTTAAATTAATTTTTTTTTAATTATATGTAAAGCTTATTAGTAATTATAAACAGAATTTTGATAATAATGAGTGATCTTGGTGGGTTTCTTGAATATAACAAATTAAAAAATAATCAATTCTGAAAAATTATCTATGCATTATTATTTTCTGATTCATATCATTATTTTTCTTTTAAATATTAATGAATGAGAACAAAAATGAATTTTGTATAAACATTAAAAGATATTGAAAATTATTATGAAAGAAGAATAAATTATTTTTTACCTAGAAAAAAAAAGTTTTTTTCTCTTTTTTTTTGATCTCATCATTAATTAGTTTAGTAAATATGTGAATTAAAACTTGTAAACATTTTAAGAATCAATTTTTATCAAAGAAAAGAAACACAAGACTGCAATAAATTCTTCTTTTCTTTGGGTAACAAAAACTTGAAAAAAAAAGGTAATCTGCAACTTTAGTTATTTTATTTGTTTTTATTTTATTTACAGAAAATACAGAATTGTTTGCAAGAAAATGAAAAGAAGATCGAATTTATTGAAAGTGAAAAAAAAAATCTTGAAAATGAACTCTGCAAGGTAAGAAGAAGATTTACTGGTAATTGAGAGCAAATGATTTAGTTTTCATTTTGCTTAACCAAACTTTGTATTTTTTGTGGGGTTTGTATTTTATTTCGCAAGTTCATTTGAAAAATAAAAGTTCACTTAAAAAGAAAATGAGTTTAGTTTAAATTACAAAGTTAGTTTTGATTTGTACAAATTTCATTTTCTTTTGTTGAAATTTTACTTAATTTTTTTTTTTTTGACATTTGAATAAAAAAAAAGCGAAACATTTTTTTTTGTGTCTGATTGAAATATGAACCTTAATTTTAAGCAACACAAATTATATCATTTGTTATCGAATAATAATTAGCAATGAACTTGTATTATTCCAATTATTGCAGTAAATTTTTGTTTAAAATTAAAAAAATCAAATTATATTTTTTTGTGTAGTTGAAAATTTGTAAAATTTGATGATTAATTGATTTAGAATGAATTAAAAGATTGAAAAGATTAATTGAAAGATTTTTACAATGTATTCATAAAATTCGAACGTAACATTGTGAATAATTTCTTAAATTATTCAAAATTTCTCTTTTTTTCTTTAAAAAAGAAAAGAAAGAAGACAATGATATATTTTAAAATAATAAAAATTGATAAATATGATAAGTGACACTAATGATTAATAATTTATAGAGCAAACGTAATTATGAACGAGAATATGAATTTCGGCAACAAATTGCAAATGATTTGGAAATACGTGAGAGGACAATAAAAGAAATTGAATTAAAAACGGAATTAATGGATAAGGAACGAAATAAGCAATCAAATAAAATACAAGAGTATGCTTGAAAAAAATTTTAGACAAATTTTTATAATTATAAAGAATAAGTCTATAACATAAATTATATTATGATAAAATTTAAATAAATGGAATGATATTTTGTTAATCAAATATCCGATTACTAATTAATTTTATAACAAAGGTTTAGTTGTTACAATTGCTAAACAAAATTAGCCGTATCATCTATATGTTAAAGTGTAGTTTAAAATTTGTTTACAAAAATAAGAAGTATTTTAAACTAGTGTCCTTTTTAAATTCATCAATTTGAAATTTTCTTTTTCTCTCTCTCTGTCTGATAGGTATAATTTCTTCAAATTTTTTAAACAATTGTCTGGTTTACAAGAAAAGAAAAAAAGGCATCCTTTTTTTTGTTCTGTTTAGTTGAATTTTACTTCGAATAAAAATGAAAGTACAATGCTGCTTCTAAAGTTGAAATATGCTTTTTATCTTTTGGTAATTCAGAAAACATGTTAATAAGTGAATATTAGAGAAGCATCCAGAAAATTGAAATTAGAAAGACTTGAAAATTTAAATTAAAATTATCAATAATAAAAGCATTTTTGCATCCTGAAATGATAATTTTAGGCTAAAGGAACAAGTGAAAAAATTAACCGAACATAATAATCAGCAAACGGACGTAATTACAAATTTGCAACGTTGTGTTACGGAGTTAAATGTTCGCATTTTCGTCTTTGTTTTATTGATAGAAAAATATTTTTTAGTGGAAATTTTTTTTTGTTAATAAATAATACTGGTCAATCAATTTATCATGAATCCTTAATTATTGCTGACAAATCAATGAATCATGGATTGTTGATAGATAAATTATAAGATCAGAAAAATTCAAATATTTTATTCCACAACGTAAAATAGTAACTGAATAGAACTCAAAATGATAGAAATTTTTAATGCATTATGATAAATTAATGAGTTCGTTGATCAGATGAATTGAATTATCGAAAGTTAAATCAGTAATTATTATTAAATGAAATGAGTTGATAGCATGATAAGAAATACCTTTAGCTGGAATGAATCTTTACAATGATAATTGAAATATAATGGTGATAAATATCAAATGATATATGAGCGATTAAAATGAATTATCATGGAATTATTTTGTCAATTTGATGAAAGCAGCACTAAATGATAATGATATCTTATTTTGCAACATTAATTTACTTTCCAGGAAAAAAACAACAACTTTGATGATATAATGATAATGGAGAAAAAAATACGAAAGAAATTAGAAAATGAACGAGCTGAACAAGAGTTTGAAATGGAAAAACTGAAGCAAAATGAGCAAAAAGCAATGACAAAAGTGGAAACACTGGTACTTATAATACTCGTCGTGCAAAATTAGATATTAATTAAATATTGATCAGATATTAATCATATTAATTAAGCATTAATTGGAGTTATATATATGAATGAAACGTTAAATAGAATTAAATTAAATATTAATTGGATATTGATTAATTTAATTAAACTAAAATGAATGAACAAATTTGTGTGAAAAAAGTGTTTCTACATCTAGGTTAAATTTTGAATACTTGACTTTAAAAGTTAATTGTTACATACTCTAATTAGAAATATATTGGCAAGCAAAGTTTATTATAAATTTGACTTTATAAATTGATTGTATTGAATCGAATAATTTAAGTTAGTGAAAAATATTAGTGAATGTTTCAATTTTTTTTCTAATTTCTTTTTCCAAATTATGCATTTTAGAAGGAAAATTGTTATGAGAAAGATAGAGAAATTCGAAGATTGGAAAAGAAATTAGATCAAACAATTGAGGAATCCAAAACAAATATTACTGAGATGAAAAAAATTCACAAACGATCAAAGGATGAATTGCAGAATCGTTTAGATGAATTGAAAAAAGCTTATCAAAAGTAAATTTTGTAAATTTTTAAAATTCCTTATTTATTACAATAATTTAGAAATATCATTCATGCATGCAATTAATGTAATGCTAGTATCGTATACTAATTTCTTGCATAATTGATATTTCAGACTGCTATCTTTCCGAAAAAGTTAACAAATAAAATAACTGTTAATTATTCAATTTGATCCACAAAATTACCACAATTTACATGCATATTTTAAGACTGGAAACAGAAAATAAGACACAAACGATGAAATTTGAATATTCTGAAAAAGAGCGAGAATCTTCCATTGAATCAGATTATGGCAAGAGATTTATTGAATTAAATCATTACTGTTTGACTTTGCTTTTTTTATCTTCATATATCAAATGTGTAATACAAAGTGAAATATGGCATCGCTTGATTAGAAAACAACAAATTAGTATGTGTACTATTCTTAATTAACAATTAATTCTATTATTCTATAAAATGATTAAATCATCATCACTGGCTAATAAAAGGGACAAATTTGATCAAGAATTATTTTAAAAAACTAGTATTATTGAATATTTTTTAATAATTTATTATGTTTTTTTTTTTTTTTTTTTTTTTCAAATTTACAATGATTTTTTATATTTACATGTTATCTTAGTAAATGAATAATTTCTAAAATTGTACTTATTTTAGTATCTGGTGGTAGACAAAGTCGTTTGGGTAGTCGACAATACTCTTCCAGTTCAATTGGTTCCATTGGATCAATTCGTACATTAAGCAGACGAACGGTTGAGCCAGAAAATAAATTCTCTTCTGGATTTCGTAGTCCTTCCACATTTTCACTAAGTTATTATTCGGTAAGTGATAAATGAATGATAATTGAGTTTAGCAATTATAAAAGTGATTAAATTGTGTGACTGTGGAATATGAATTTCAATATTTTACTTCATAAAATTCAAAAATGAATATTTCCAGGGTGATCCGTATAATCTGTCAAGATGTTCATCACAAAGTCAATTTGCTAATGAACGAAAAATTTCACAGCTAGAACGACAAATTGTTTCCGCACATACCGATGTACAAATGTTGAAACGAGAAATTGAAGTGTACAAGTCAACATTAGCAGAAAATGAAAAAGTAAGTTCAGCGTTCATTGACATATTACAAATATTATTACCTCTTAGGCAATGATCAGATCATTCTAAAGTATTGATTGTTTTTCTGTAATAATTATTTATCAACATTTTTAATTAGTTGATAAATATTCTGTATTGCTTAGTTGATAAATGGTTGATAAATGTTAGTTGATAAATATTCTATATTTTTTAATCCATCACTTATATTTTTTAATAGTTTCAAACAAATAATGTTCCTTCTTATGAATAATTACATGAAATCTTTTAGTGTTGATCGCATTGTTAGTATTATAGCTTCCTAATAGCATTTCAATCCATCATCTTAATGATGATGATAATAATTAGTAACTCTTAATTTTTGCTTTCAAACTTTTCCTTGAAATAGTTTTATTTAAGGAAAGAGATGTGTTATCGCAAAAAATTCGTACAATGGATATTTCTGTGAAAAAATTGGAACAATCATTAAAGGATGAAGAACGAAAAAATCATGAATGTGAGTTACGATTGAAGAAAACACAAAATGAATTGGAACATATACGTGATAAGTATGAAAAAGCGATAAAAAATGGGCAAACGGAAATTCTAGAAGAAAGGTTTATTTTAATTAATTAATTTGATTATTCATCATCTTGTAATATTAGTTTAATTAATTCAACCATTTATTGTTTCATAAATTCAATCGTTGTAATATTAATTTAGTTATTACGTTAATTAATCTTCTTGCTGTATTAATTCAATTTTGCAATAATTAATTAATTCAATTGCGCCTTATAATATCTTCATTTGTGTTCAATATATTCTATTGCAGAAGAAAAATGAGATTAAAAATGGATGCATTATCACGTATAAATGAAGTCAAAAAGCGAGATGAAAGAGAAGAACAAGCAATTGAAGAGTTACAAAAAGAACTTGTTATTAAAACATCACAACTTAATCGAGTTTTGGCACAAGTAAAAACTTAAAATAATAAATATTATTAAATCCTTTCTTTTTTAAATCAATCAAATGTTGTAAAATTTTTGATAGATAAATATAATGCGAATGACTTATGATATGAGTTGATATTTTATGCAAAAAACATTAATTAATTTGAAAAAAAAATCATTCAAACATAATTATAATTTTTGTTTTCTTTTTTTTCCTCCCTTCTGTGTTATACAATTATATTTTTATAGGTCAATCATCTTGAAAATATCAATAAAACACAGAGTGTTTATGGAGAAACATGGGAACATCAATATCGTATGGCACTTGCTGAATTAGAATCATTACGTGATGAAAATGCAAGCTTAAAAACAAAAATACGCAGACAATATCGTGAAATTGAACTTTTAAAACGTGAGATTTTACATTATTAATTAAAAACACGTAATAAAAAGCATTGAAATTACGCGTGTTATACGTCCATTTTTCGTACCCCATATCCGTGAACTTTTCAAGTTCTCTAGCTCTCAAATTTATTGTTTAACATTTTTGTAAACAATTGTAAGATTATTTAAACAAACTAATGATAAATTATTGATTTGTTAGTTGCAGAACAATCAGAAATGGAAGCAGATGTTGCTATGTTAGAAAGTAAAATGGGTATATCAGCAACAGAAACAACAACAGAAACAGCAACAACAACATTAGCAACAATAGGAACATAAAGTTCAAATGATAAATATGATTTATAAATTTGATAATATAATATCATTCGTTTTGCTATAGCTAAAGCTTCTTATTGTTTAACACTGCGATCTATGAATTATTAAAATTAAATTAACTCAAAAAAAAGCATACGAGAAAGAAAGTGAATTATTTTTACAAAAATTTTGCAATTCTTTTTTTGCATAAATTTCAGTTTGAATGATTGTCATTTTTTTCCTAAAATATTAATTGCATCATTACCTTTGAATTTCTTAATTGGTTGAATTCCTTTAAAAATTACAAATCTTTTTCATCTTGAACTAGAATAAAAAAAGAAAATAAGGTTGCTTCTACCAATGTTCAATATTCAAAAATGAAGTTTTAAATTCAAAAAATTTTAATCAGTTTACTGTTTTAAATTAGCCATGTACTGGGTATAAAATTTAACAAGATTTAATGATTTGAAGCCCTTTCAAATATTTATTTATTATCAATATCGCCTTACATTAATCAAAAGGTTATCAATAATTGTCACTAATAGTTATTAAAGAAGAGTTTCTTTATTTCAAAAAAAAAATATGTAGCTGTTTGGAATTTCTTTTATATTAAACAATGCTTTTCATACGGGTTCTCAAAATAATGGAATAAAATCTTTGTATAACCCGAATCAAGGAATAATGCTACTGCTTACCTATTCTTAAATGAATTCAATTTCTTCATGAATGATATATAATTTAATTTATCATTAGCATCCCGAACACTACATTTCGTAGGAAACATAGTCGCTTAATATAAATGAATATATCAAATAATTAATAGTGTAATAGCAACAATATATTTTACTTCTTACATTGCTCTTTGCTCATCAAATTTCACCGGTATATAACTTATTAAAATATCTCGTTCCTATTAGTGTGCTTAGTAATCAAATATAAAATTTATTACTTTCTTTGAATTATTCATTCTAGCAACATATATTGCCACTATTACAGTACGATACTAAAGTGACTAACTTTTTTACTTAAGTGTTCAATATCACCTATACAGATGATATTTTATTATTAATGCCTACCGCTATTATTATTATTTATTAATTTATTTATTGTTTATTATTATTATTAATTTATTAATTACCATTATTTCCGTGGAAATTATTTTATCAATAACAGTAGGAATTTTTTTTTTCTTTTTTGAGATGGAAAAATGTGGATACAAGATATATATTAATATATCGTCAAAATGCAATAAGAATCTATCAATTAGCGGATGAAGAATATGGAAAATTCCAAGTTTTATGAACAAAATATCACTGTCTGCTTCCATTTCCGTTTCAAATTATTCAATAGAATATGTCATAGTGATATTGTCAAACTTCCATCATTTTTTCGAGATAATATTTTGTTAGTGTAATAATACTGAATTCATTTGCAAAAAAAAAAAAGAAAAAAACATTAAACTACGATGAAAAAATCAAAGAGAGAGAATATTTGAAAAATATACCACTATAGGACAGATAATAGTAATCGAGAGAGATAAGAAATGATATTAATAAGAGAGTGAATTAAATAATGATGAAAATTAGTAAACATATGATAGAAAAGAGGAAGAATGAGTCATCATTAAAATTAATAACGCACAATAATGATAACCTAAAATTACCGCAATGTATACGTAATGATAATTAATGAAATGGGAAATGAGAAATAGTGGATGACATTGTAATAAATGTTTCATTCATTCATTTGTAATTTTTTTTACAATTTTCCACTGGTTCTCCTTTTTTTTCGTTGTTTCTTTTCCTTTCCTTTTTCTCTTTCTCTTTCAATCAAATCTGAAATTAATCTTCTAATATTGGAAGGAGAATTAAAAAAATCCAAAAATTGTAGTGGAAGCAAAAAAATGTTTTTGGAAACAAACCTTTATGATTTGGTTAAATTGTTATTCGGGGGAGAAGTTTGATGTCAGGGAGATGTGTTGGATGCCAGCTAAATATTTGGGCAACAATTGAAAACTGATTCGGAGGATTGGATGATTTTAAAACTGATCTAATTGACAATAGTATGGTTATAAATCTACATTGATGTTAGACAATGATCGAAACAAAGGAGAGGAGGTGCTTGCATGGGCACCAGTTGCTAATAAAGAGCTTATTAGATAACCGCATGATTATGATAGCTAACAAAGAACAATGTAGATATCCTCATGATTGTAAGGATTGCTAACAAAGAACGATGTAAATTGTTTCAATATGTAGAAGCATAAATTTGGAAACAAAGAGTCCGAAGTATAAGCATTATTTGCGGAAATTACGTAGATATCTTTACTACAATTTGCAACTCATATTTTTAGATCGCGATATTAAAATCCGCGACACTCCCGACCGAAGGAGCTAAATGCTTTAGTTCGTTGGACAGCTTTGGTTGATTGCTTCGCCTTATAGCGCTTCTAGTTCGTAGAGCAATTGGTTCTTGTTCATTGACATTTTGCACTGATTTGTTAAACATTGTTGGTTGAGGGTCAATTTCCTCACCTTTGACTTCCAGTGGGTATAACATATTCACCGGTCTGTTGAGTATTTTTCCTTTCGGTAATTCTATCGAGACACTTCTCACTTCTCCATCCTTTCCTGTTTTGATTTCTCTTATTCTGGCTAGTTTCCACATGCCACGGGGAATTTCTGGTTCATTTAGTAACACAATCTCTCCCTCGTGGGGAGTTCTTTTTACTACATCTCTCGGAGAAGAGTGTTCCCTTTGTGCTCTTTCTTTAAGAGTATTTAAATATTCCTCTTTCCATATTTCCCAGAAGGCATCGAGGGCCTTTAGTGTATTTGACCAGTATTGAATGAGTTTTTCTCTCGAATCCAATTTATGAGGGATAAAATCATCCATTTCATTCTTGTTTTTAGCAGGCATGATTAGATGCGCATTCGGTAGTATAAAGTCAATTGGACGCAATATGATACAATCATCAAAATTTACGTAAGTTAGTGGTCGAGTATTCAAAATACTTTCCACTTCCGCTACTAGCGTAATCAATTCCCGTTCCCATAATAACTTTCTGCCGATGGCTCTTTTCATTGCCCTTTTTGTTAACCCAATAAGTCGCTCATATACTCCTCCGTTCCAAGGCGCCTTTGGTATTATATTTTTCCAGATCATTTTCCTTTCCGCTAGGAATTCATTTAATTGTTGTTTCACAATGATTTTAAAAATTAACTGGAATTGACCAGCGTTGTCGCTTAAGATTAATTCTGGAAAGCCTCGTCTTGCTGTAAATCTTCTGAAAACATGTAAAAAGCTTTCGGCTGAAAGAGTTTCTACTACTTCTAGATGTACAGCTCTTGTTGTGAAACATGTGAATAGTGCTACCCATCTTTTTGTTAGCCCATTATCACTCCTGATATTCACAGGACCTAAATAGTCTAGTCCTACTCGCGCAAAGGGTCTTGATCTTGTGGTCCGAGATGCTGGAAGATCAGCCATAGTTGGTAATTTGAATGGTTTAGTTGTCCAGCGTCTGCACTTCATGCACTTATTCAAGATTCGTTTGACTTCCGTTCTACCTTTTGGGATCCATATCGTCGATCTCAGATTTGAGAGTGTATGAGCAATTCCAGCATGATACAGTTGTTCATGTCGTTGCTGAATAAAGAGTTCAGTTATGGTGTTGTGTCTCGGGAGATATATTGGGTGTAAGTTACTCTCTTTCATTTCAGAGTTAACTACGCGGCTTTTGTATCTCCATAGTTCGTTATCATAGAACAAATTCCATTTGATTATTTCATCTTTGGTAACTCCTTCTGACTGTGCTTGTTTGAATAGCACAATTTCTGACAACTCGTAATCCTGTGTTGTCAATATATTCTTTTCTTTCGTTGCCATCTTTAGCCAAGGAATTTCCCTTTTCATTGTTAATCTTATGAATTTCAGAACCCAACCAGTTGTTCTTATTAATCTTGACCATTTGCTAAAACGACTAGCATCTAAGATTCCGAAATGTTTGTTTATGATAATTGGTTCTGTGATGTGGGCCACAATTTCTTCATCCTGGTAATCCTCATTGTAATTGTATTTCCACTGTGGCCATTTTGATTCGTTTTCTGTTAACCACTTTGGTCCTTTCCACCAAAGATCATATCCTTTTAGTTTATTCGGAGAGATTCCTTTTGTAGCTATATCAGCTGGGTTTTGTTCACTTGGGATATATCTAAAATGGATTTTCGCCTTTCGTATTTCTTCTACCCTATTTTGTATGAACGTTGGTAGTAAACGGGAACTATTGTGAACCCAATGAAGCGCACATTGAGAATCGGACCATAAAATTGTTATCACGTCCTCAAGCTCTTTTTGTTTTAATACGAATTGTACCATTCTCACTCCGATGAGTATTGCCAGTAATTCTAATCGAGGTATTGACATTCCTTTAATTGGCGCAATTCGGGATTTAGCAAACACTAAGAATACTTCTCTTTCTTGAGTTCGAATGTATAAAGCTGCTGAGTATGCAGCAGTTGATGCGTCAGTAAAAACATGAAATTGTACTTGCTTGGAACAATTTGTTGTGAATCTTGGTAGATCCTTTAGTTTCTTTGGCCATTCGTTCGTGAGTAATTTCCACGTGGTTTCATCTTCCTCACTTATAGTTTGATCCCATGAAAGGTTCTTTTTCCACAAAGTTTGGAGAAACAATTTGAATCTTATCAGTATAGGAACTATGAATCCTAGTGGGTCATATTGTGAGGCTACGAATTGCAATATAATTCTTTTAGTTAATTTCTTACCAAACCATGGTTTTAACGTTACTTGAATGATATCTTGTTTGTGGTACCAATTGAGACCTAGAATTTTTTTAATTGAACTTACCTCTGCTCGATCTTGTACCGGAAGTTTTTCATTGACTTCTTGATCGTTAGAGAGAAATTCCCGTACATTCATTGATGCTTCATTGAATATAATTTTAATTTCCTTATAATTGGAAAGAGCTTCGTTGGTTCCTTTGGTTGGTATTATAATGTTATCGACATAGAGATTTTTCCTTAACTCGAGTGCGATTTTGCTTTTACAAGTTTCCAAATGATAATTGAGTGTAGCGGACAATAAAAATGGAGATGATACAATTCCAAATGGAACTCGTTGGAAACGGTAACAACTTACGTTTTCTTCGTTAACTGGACTTCGAATGTCTTTCAACCAAAGAAATCGAGTGCAGTTTCTATCTGTTGGATGCAATTCTATTTGCAAGAACGCCTTTTCTACGTCTGCTATTATTACATTTTTCATTGTACGGAAACGTAGCAAAACTCCAACCAAATCAGGGAGTGTTATTGGTCCCCGATATAAAACATCATTTAAACTTTTCATTCCTTTACAATGAGCTGATGCATCATAAACTATCCTCAGATTTGTCGTGGTTTTATTTGGTGTTATCACTTCGTGATGAGGCAGATAATGAATAATACCAACTTCATTCATTTCCGATGACACTTTCTCAATTATATTGGAATTGAGTTGTTCTTCAATAGTTTGATTGTATCGACTTAGTAATTGAGGTTTCATTTGAAGCCTCCTAATTAACGACTTTAATCTTCCAAGGCAAAGTCCGAAATTATCGCTTAGTTTGTTCTTTGAATCTTTCCAAGGCCAACAAACTTGATATCTTCCCTTGTCCCTAGTGATAGTTTGTTTAAATTGCTGCAATGCTTTTTCATCATTGTCAGAGTTTATTTTGTCTTGTATACCCATTAATTCCAGTTTCCAAAAGTGATCTAAGTCTGGAATATTGACGGCATTGACTTGAGAAATCGGACTTACTGATGTGGTTTCTGAAATACTGTCGTGTATTTCATTTATATACCCACTTCCAGCTATTATAGGTCCAACCTTTGTATGGATCAATGAAAATCCTGATTTTAAGTTCTCTGCTTGGTCAAACTGGATAAACTTGAAGAAGTGATCCGCACCTATGAGTATGTCCGGTTGTTTCCATTTGTTTTTGAAATTACTAAACTGATTTCTTTTGTCTATCATCAACAATTCCTTTTTGTTTAGATTAACTACTTGCAATTCATTCGTCAAGTGGTTAACTGTTATTACATCTAATCGGATTATTTCTTTATTTCCAATTTTTACTCCGATTTCAGTTTTAGTAGTGATACACGTTTTTGGCGTCTTATCACCAAATGAAGCAATTTTTATTTCCATCTCGTTAGTTTCTTGTAGATTCAATCGATAAGCCAAATCCTTTGATATGAACGATAATTGAGAACCAATATCGAATAGAATTAAAGCCTTTTGTTGGATTTTTGGGCGATTTGGATTGGTTACATTTATTTCCTTACATAACAGTAAGGTTCGCTTTTTCCATTGATTTCCTTTTTCGGTAATGGAGTTAGCGATTGTGACTGAACCCAATCTTTCTTTGTTGGAATCCACTGCTTGCGTGAGTTCCTTGTAGTTGTTGGGACACAGTGCTGTATTGTGTGGACTTTTACAATGGAAACACAAAGGTTTCCCTTTTTTACAATCACTTGTTGCATGTCCTTTTCGTAAACATTTGAAACATGCAGTGATTTCTCTCAAACGTTCCATCCGGAGTTTGAGAGTGGGATAGATGTTACATTCATTGTTCCAGTGGTCCTTATTGCAAAATACGCATGGTTTCCTTTTCCCATTTATAGAAATTTTTCCTGGAACCTTTTTTGATTTGATTGTATTATCTCCCTTTGTTTGGTTGATTGTGGCGAAAGCTGACGTTTCGCCTCTAACATTATTTTTGTTTGTTTTCTTCTCCCTTGTGTCTGCTTGACTTCTAGCAACTTCTTCATTTCTTAGAACTAGTTTTGTCAGGTACTGCCGGATATCCTTAACTGACCAACTCGTCGAATCCTCTTTCAATTGGTATAATTTATCAATTATCCACGCTGGTAGTTTATTTTCAATTGTAATTTCGATGCTTGAATGCTCTAAATTTTCACCTATAGCTTCCAGTTGTCGAAATGTTCTCTCCATGGCTTCTATGGTTGCTTTCCACTCTCGGTCATTTTTTTTGATGGTATTCAACTCGTTGTAGAGTGATTTCTTTATAAGGAAAGGTTTACCATATTTCTCTTTTAGTAAACCTATTATAACATCGTAGTTTTCTGGCGCTATATCATAACCTCTTACAGATAACAAAGCATCTCCTTTAAGACATGATATCAGATAGTTTAACTTTTGAATATCTGGGATGCTTTGCTCATGGACTGCTGCCTTGAAACTACACCAAAATTGCCTCCACAATTTTGGATCCCCACTAAACGTTATTAGTGGTAATTGAGGAAGTTTTATTTCTGCTTGATTTGTGTGAATCATACTATTCTTTGGAAATGATTCTTTGACCTCTTCTTGTTTTAAATGTTGTAGTACCGAGCAATATTCATCAGTATGTATTTTAAGGGTAATAATAGTTTCTCTTGTTCTAGTGATTAAACTTAAAATACCTTGTGGATCGTCAACCATATTGGCGTATTTCGTCTCCTCTTCCTTTCTCCTCGTTGCTATTGTCAAGCTCTGAATATTATCCAGCCAATTTTGATTAGCTGTTTCGAGTAACCCAGCATAATATTCGAGATGTGCGATCTTCTCCTTGACGATTCGCAATTTAATTTCGTATTGATGCTGAAGTTCCCCTCGTGATAGTGTTTGAGACGGGGAGGTCAGATCGAGTTCACTTGCTTCTTTAAGAAGTTCTAGAGTTCTCGACTTCGATAATTCGCTTCCTTTTCTTATACTGTCGGACATGTCCCGGCTCGTGGCACCAAAATTGTAGTGGAAGCAAAAAAATGTTTTTGGAAACAAACCTTTATGATTTGGTTAAATTGTTATTCGGGGGAGAAGTTTGATGTCAGGGAGATGTGTTGGATGCCAGCTAAATATTTGGGCAACAATTGAATAAACTGATTCGGAGGATTGGATGATTTTAAAACTGATCTAATTGACAATAGTATGGTTATAAATCTACATTGATGTTAGACAATGATCGAAACAAAGGAGAGGAGGTGCTTGCATGGGCACCAGTTGCTAATAAAGAGCTTATTAGATAACCGCATGATTATGATAGCTAACAAAGAACAATGTAGATATCCTCATGATTGTAAGGATTGCTAACAAAGAACGATGTAAATTGTTTCAATATGTAGAAGCATAAATTTGGAAACAAAGAGTCCGAAGTATAAGCATTATTTGCGGAAATTACGTAGATATCTTTACTACAATTTGCAACTCATATTTTTAGATCGCGATATTAAAATCCGCGACAAAAATTGCTGAAACTATCAAAAATGCTACAAGTAAATCAAAATAACAAAGCATTATTTCTATAAAAAACAATTGCTGACGTATCTAGCATAACTAGCAATATTCAACTTATTAAAATAAAATTTGCATAATTACGAAAAAAAATTACTCAAATACCATTCGAGATTTTCCTCTTTTTAATTCCTTTTTTACTTATAATTTTGAGGCAGTCTTATTTTCTTCACATGTTAGTTTTTATTTTGATTTTTTGTCGTACAGTTCTTTTTATATGCTAACTGTTTCACTCATTTTTTTTTTTTCATTTTTATTTTTGTTTGTTTTCAAAATTGGTGGTTTAATTCTCTTTAGTGGCAATATTATTTCAGTTTTGATTATTTCTTTTTTTTGGAATTTCTTTGGATATTAAATGAACTTATTAACTTTTGTTAAACATATTCTATTAATCAAAATTATTTTCACTCTAATTTCAACATTTTTCAATATTCCTCTCCTAATTGGTTCATGTTTGAGTTGCAATACTTATGTTTGGTTTTGGTTTGTATATGGGTGGCACTGAATGGTAAGTGGTACTGGGATAGGTTAATGAATGGGTAAACAATATTGGATTTGTTCAGGGTTTTTACTTTCTGAATTCGGGAATTTTATCAAATTATGTACATCTGATTATCTACCTTCATCGATTTTTTTTTTACATTTGTTTTGTTTTTGCACGCATTTAATAATTTAGTGCAATAAAGCAAATTTTAGTAAGTGAAGGAAAAAAGAGAAAAAACAAGAGGATGGATGTACTCGTTAGTTTAAATATATCTTCTCATTAAATATTTAGATATATGAGAATTTGATTTTCAGAGTTTACAATGATAGCGGATTCTGAGGTTTCGTTGTTTTCGGATTCCAGTCGATTATCTAGTAGTAATACTCATTCACAACATTCAGCACCAAGTTTTCTCTTTGGTTCTCATAGTAGACGTCGCAGTTTAATTATGTCGTTCGGTATGCTTAATTTTCCCTAAAAGGCAACATTTTTCAGTTTGCAGATAATTCCTATCCTATATTCAGAGCCTTCGTTAATTATATACTAAAATCTCTGTTTATCCAGAATTTAGTTTTGAAAACAAGATTTTCTGAAGGTTCTGAGTGATTTGATGGGATATTTCAATAAGTTAACCTAATTGTAGATGACAGTTCAGAAAAGCGGACAACGGAACAAGATACATTAACCTCATCCTCAAAGAGCAGTAATTATTTCTAATTTGAATTTGTATTTTCCTTTTTTTTGCATCTTCGTGATTATATGTTTTATTGATTTTATTTAAAATGGTGAATGATATGTTTTCAATTTTCATGGATACCCGTTTTGTCGATTTAATCGAATCAGAGAATGATATATTTCCACTTTTGAAATGTTTATTTAAGCATTATTTCATATTATTGGAGGGTTAACAAACTGTTACTTAAATAAATAATTTAGCAGTTAAGTTTGTGAATGTATGCTTCAGATTTATATTTTGATTTCCATCATGCAATTGTGGGAGTATATGGAATCTACATCTGTTACAATAAATGAAATATGCGGGCATTCGTGGGATAGGTTATTCTAACTCGTTATTGTGAATACAGAAAAGCAACTTTCCCATGTCTTGCAAGCTCATTGAGACAAAATTTCATCCCGGGTAGGCGAAAAAAAAAATGAAAATAAATGGTGTTTCTAGGTTCTCAAACCAATAAAAGTGTTCACTGGTCACCAGCTTTGACACAAACGAAAAATACCAGTTTAGGTGGTCTATATGAAGATTTTCACATGGATACTGATTTGGATAAGTTATCTTCAGTAGGATCAGATGTTCCCGTTGGTACTTTTTTCTCCTCTTTTTCATAATTTTCAGTTTGAAACATCGAAAAATCTTTGTTAGTTAACTAGTTTTGCTGAAAAATCGAGTTTTGTTGTTGATTAGAACTTCTTTAGGTGATACTTGCTAAATTATGTGTCTTTAATAGATTTCATTTTTGTGGCGTTTTTATCAATACATATTTTTCCTTGTTCCATCTTCAATTTTTAATTCTAGCTTGTTTATCTTTTTTCAGATCCCCCTCTTCGTTCTATGAGGGAGGAACTACTTCCTTCAAATCTCCTACCCAGAGATTTAACTTCTTCATCTGCGAATTTGTCAAGCATGTTGGATCTTAAGACACAGTAATTCGTTGTTCTTTATGTGTCGAATTAAATCCGAGTAAAATGATAAGAATTTGACTCTTCTTATTCAGTAGTAATTTTTGCAAACTTTGAATATTTACATATCAGTTTAGACAAGAAATTGCTGCGCACTGGGTTACTGTGTTTGGTTTTCCTCGTGAAGATGCAACAAATGTCCTTAAATTATTTACACGACATGGAACAGTTGTGGCTCATCGTGTATTGTTTCTATTATTTTGTTTTATTTTTAACATTAACTTTGTATTTCAACCTTTAAGCATTAAAGTATTATCACAAAATTCTCATTCAGTTTCCTAGAGAAGGCAATTGGATGTTTATACGTTATGCTTCACCAATTCATGCCCAGCAAGCTCTTTCTCGAAATGGACAAATTATGGATGGTCGATTGCGTTTAGGAGTAGTTCCAGTTGATAATCAGGTAAAAAGTTCATTGGTTCATTTTTGCTTTAGATATTTCTATTGTATATCATATTTAGGCCTTTGGCGAGATCTTGTTCCTGCTTCTCAACTAGTCTGAATTATTTTCATTATCACTGTACTGCACTGTTTGCAGGAGTTGATGAATTTAGAGGATGATGACTATTTGAACATATTTTCACAAACAAATAATGAAAATAGTAATCAGTTCAGCCGTAATGGGTCTATTTTGTCTGAAGTATCCTTTTTTTGTGAAAATGACCCGTCAACAATTACACTCTCATGTCCTCTGGATACAAGTTTCAATCCTTCATTAATTGCGTCACCTGTTCGTGGAGGAATTCGTTCTTTACGTGCTTCTTTCAACGCGGTAGATAATTATTACCGGGTAAGTTGCCTTAAATCTTACTTCACCTAAATGTTTATTTTTTTAACTTTTTTTTTTGCGTTACTTGTCAAACATCCCTTCATGTCTGTAGTAGAAGCTGTTACTCTGTTATCACTTTCTTAGCTGCTACGTGACTGTAATTAATTTCATCATAAAATTGGACAGCTGATTGGTTACTGTTATCATTAAAGATAATAACTTTTTGTCCATATATTTTGGTATATTATTGATACCTTATTTTATTTGCAAATGGGTGAAAAAATATGCGGGAAATGCTGTTATAAGTTAAAATTTGAGCATAATTACTTTAAAAATATTTTGTAAGTGAATATAGCGAAATTTAAGCATGTTTTGCAGGTTGATGATGAAAAGGAACCAGAAAAATCTCACGGATTTTTGGATAAACTATGGAGCTTTGTTTCATAATGAGATAGCCAAGTGTTATTAAATAATGGTTCACATTGATTTATATCTCAGCAAACCAAAAAAGAAGAAAAAAATTATTTAAAACATATCAGGCTTCTAGTATGATTTTCAGCTCATCTTTTTCCTACACGATGGAGAATTTGTATAACTCTTTAATTCATATCCTTTTGTTTTACTTTGACAGGTTAATGAATTGATGCGATTATTGATTTGTTTTTTCTGATTTACATGATTTCATATTTTATTTTCTTTGCATGATTTTTGAAGAGTGATAAATTTTTTTTAAAAAATTTGCATTTCTTTTGTATGCACTACTTACAGGGATTTCTGATTAGTGCTCGATGGGGATCAAAAATACTGTTTGTGATTTTTGCTTATGAGTTGTTTTGTTCGTAATTTAACTACTTATTATTTATTATGTTTTAAAATTCTGACATATTCAGAAGTGATCATTAACGTAAACATCGAAACATGATCACAGTGTTTTATACATCAAGTTCTCATTCATACAGCAACAATGCACTATTCCTTTTTTTTTTTTGTAAATAAAATGATTAAATCAAATATACTTGCAGTCTAAATTATATCTTGATGTGACACTTCATTTCTTAAACAATGTTCACATTTATCAAATATGGGCTAAGAAAAAAAAAGAATGGAAAGTTGTGTCATAAAAGTTGCAAATTTTTTTCTTTTAAAATTTTTAAGAAAGAAAATCATTGGAATAATCAAAACGCACGATATGTAAAGTAAAACGGATGAATGCTTCCCCTATATTCCCATGTGATTTATATTTGGTATGCAGAATTTCAGAATAAATTTGGAAATGAAGTAATGGATGTAAATGGAATTGACAACTACAGACAACTTGTTAAAAGGATGAAATATGATTTGAGTCAGATATATTCATTCCTTGTTCAGAATATGGACAAAATATAAAAGTGTTGATACGAACATCAGTTTATTAAATGGATTCATTCATGCAAAATTTCCCTTTCCTAATCCGTATTTTATCAATTTAGTATTTTCTTTTTAATTTGTTAAATGAAAAAAAAAATTGAAAAATAAAATTGTCATTATATGCACTGATAAAGTAAATGATAAGCAGATATGTACTACATTTATTTGCGGCTCTTTGCCTTTGATGTTATTCCACAGAGACACACACACACACACACACACACACAGAGAGAGAGAGAGAGAGAGAGAGAGAAGAGGTAATGCTTTCTTGAATTGTGCTATGTATTTTCATTACTCATCAAGCTAATTATCCAATGTAATTTATTGCTTTAAGAATTGCTATTATCTTTAATTATTTAATTTAAAAATTTAATACGTTAGATATCTAACATAAATTTTAAAACTGTATTTGCAATTTTTAAATGTTTTATGGTTTTTAAATTTTACACTAACAATAAGTTATATAATCGTACATAATTTAAAATTTCCGTATTCATGAAAAATTGAAAAATTCCTTCGTTAGAAATATTATAATTTACATTACTTATTTAAATTCAAATATTTGTTTGCTAAAGACATAAAGTATTATTATTAGCATCATTGTATCGTCACAGAATATCTCATTTCATATGCTTCATTAGCTTGCCAATATTCTAAACTGGAAAGAAATGTGACAAAATTAAATCATCCACTGCTCATGAATATTAAACACCTTTCTCGATCATGTTTGCTATGCCTGTTTTTGCTAAATATTAATAAGCCTCCTCTTCGTTTGCATAATTATCTGGATATATCCTACTAGTTCATCTTATTTGATGATATAAGACTTTCTCCAATAAATACAAACTCAATCCTTTTCCATTACATATTAAGTAATTTTTATTGTTTCACGGATTGCTTATTTTACTTAATTTCTTTTCTTTCTTTTTAAAAAGAAAAAATTTCATGGACAAATTTTGTTATCTTATAATATTTCAGCATTGATATCTTGCATGTTTTTCGAAATTAACAAGATCATTATTACAAATTAAATTTTAATTATTATAAATTAAAATTACTTTTGTAATTTCATTTTTAAAGAATTTTTTAATGTATGAAAAAGAAAAAAAAAACTGTCAAACTGATAAGATAGTATTCACAACTTACTCTCTGAATTACATACATTCTAATTTACTGTTTGAAGAATTTCATTAAATAGAAAAAAAAAATATATAAGTGAAATAAAAGGTGATTGAAAAAAAATTAGTATTTTTGATAAAATTAATGAAGGATGCTTGGCAAAATTTGTTGAAATCATTGAATTTTCTCACAAAAATTACATATTTATATTAATATAATATTTTTGGAAAAACAAATTTTTTTTTTATTGTGCATAATATTTCAGGAACAGTTCTATTATTAATTTCACGGTTATGGCGAATAATGATGAGGTAATAACAAAAAGGTGTCGCATATGGAATCCCGCTTTGGATGATTGTTATAATGTCAACAGTAATGATAAAGATACATGCTCAGTCAATTTTCAAAATGATCACATTCCCCAGGTTGTTATAAAATACGCTTCTGATTAATTTTTTTGTCACTTTTTCTTAGAAATTTTATTACTTATCGTTTTACAAGTAAAAATTTTATCACTTATCGTTCCAGAGTTAATTTCAGATTTTATAACCATTAATTGGTCAATTAGAAAAAAAAAAGGATAAAATACTCACACATATCTTTCTTTAGATATGATTCAATTTATAAATTGAATTAAATTATTTGTGTTTAAATTTGTTCCAAAAGATATATTTTATTAATATTATACTATTTCAGCATTTTTATGCAAATATCCAGGATTCCTTATTAATCATTACTTTTATTTGACGAATATAATTAACAAGTAAATAATGTAATATCAACAATATAGATAAATAAATAAATAAATAAATGTGTATATATCTTTTCGAATAAAATTGAATTGATTTAAAATTTTATTTGGTATCAAAGTTTGAAATAGAATGAATCTAAATGAACGTTATTTATAAAGTCCTTATGTACGGAACTTAAAAAATAAAACAAAATTACAAAATAATAATTAAATATTTAATTGCAGAATTATGCAAGTTTGATGCAACCATATATTACAACACCTATGCATTCTAATTATATAAAAGGGATACAACAAAATCAAAATACAGCAATGAGTTTTCGATTCAATATTACGCTGTTACCTAGTAAACAAATCATATTTTCTCCCTTTACTTATTTCTATTATTTAAATATTTAATTACAAAAAAATAAAAAAACGATTTAAATTTATTTCTTCAGATTAAAAAAGAAGTTCAGGAAAAAAATTATTTTTCCATGTTATGACTAGAAAAAGAAGAAAAGAGGAAATAATTATTATAAAATTAAAAGTCTAATATATCTTTAGTTTTTTTACAATTTCTATTAATTTTAATTATAGAAATGATCAACACCATTTAATTTAAATCAATTAATATATGATAAATTTTATTTTAATTTCACACAAAAATTTGTAGGAATATAATCGTAATAAATTTTAATATTAATAATAATTTTTATTCGATTATCATTCTTATTAATACAAGTTTGTATTGATTATTCAATATCAAAAATAAAAATTTATTACGCTTTTATTCCTCTTTCATTTCTTTTATTATTTTTATTTCATTCAATAGTTAATTAACTTTTTCCAACTCATTTTTTTTAAAAAAAAAAAAAAAAAGTTTTTTTGATTTATTATTCTCCTAGGAAAAGATTGAAGAGAATATAAGAACAATGTCAAAATTGAATATTTGTTTGCTAGAACAAATTTTAAATCTTAAATATTGCTAAGATTATTTTTTTTTTTTTTAAAGAAATTATTAATAATTTAGATTACTTGATGAACACAATGCTGAATCAAAATTTTGCATCACTTGATGTACCAAATCAAAATTGTTGTGCTATATGTGGTAACATATTTCGATTAACTGCTGACTTGGTTCAACATATGCGTATCAACCATCGAACTAAACATTATTCTCAACAACGAAAACGATTATCATCACAATAAATGATAATGCTGATCATATTGTCTGATAACTTGACAATCTTTTCTTCATTTTCATCACATCCAACTAATTTATTATTTATCAATGTTAAGAATAAAATTATTTTTCATCATTCTGAAATAGCTAGAATTCCCTCATCAAATCAATTCTTTCAAAAAAATTTCATTCTGAAATATACGATGTATTAGTTTGAATTATATCAACATCCAATCATTTGTTGTTGATGAACAAATTAAAGATATAGTTGTAGAACTTACCAATGCAAATTAATAAATATTTTTGTCTTGAGACAATATCATTGCTATTGGAGGGACCGCATTAAATACCGAGTTCCAGAGCATTGATTGATGGTGGTCAACTGATAGTGTTGTTGGGTATTTGGGTTGGGTGCGTTTTAGGGTTGGAGGAATTGCATTGCTTTTTTTTTTTTTTTTTTTTTTCAGAGAAATTCTTAGGTTATCAAAAGAAATAAAAAATGAATATTAGAGAAAAAAAGTGGAGGAAGAAATGAAACTCTGAAATTTATTCCGTATAATTTCCCAGCTCTTATTCTGAAATCATATTTTTAACGTGGATGTATGCCGTTTCATACGATAAACAAACAATATTTGTTATGAATATACGTTAAACGTAGCTAGTCTTTTAATTACTCATAATGAGTGCAATTGTTGTATAGTACGTATTTGCGGATATCTTGCAGATCGTACATATCATTATGTCAATTCCGGAAGGTGATTACGAAAGAGGCAAAAAGTTATTCAAAATGCGATGCCTTCAGTGTCATGTAATCGATTCAGATGCAAATAAAAATGGTCCAACTTTGAAAGGTGTGATTGGGCGTAAATCGGGAACTGTCGATGGTTACCCATATTCTTCTGCCAATAAAAATAAGGTTTCATTTTAACTATTGTATTTTTAACTAGTATATGCAATTGCATCATAAATATTCATATTGGAGGTATTTGAGTGCTTTGAATAGCATTTTTATTCCTACGATTTATTGTTCTTTAATGTTTAGTCTCATTGTTATTGTTAATAGCTGTACTAAAAGATCTATATAGTTTAACTGAAACTAATTAGGCGACTGTCACATGTAAAATAAAGTTGGAGTGCTAGAGTCATCGCATCAACTTAAAATATTTATTGTAGGGTTAAAATATTTCATATATGTAAATTAAAATATTTTTTATGCTTATGAGATAATTTTTAGTCATCTATCCTATCTCTAATGCATAAAATTTCAAGCATTGTGTTTGTCCATTGAGACCTAGGTTAAATCCCCCCTTTGTATCATCTTATTCAGGTATTCTCCTTGATGAATACCACATAATTTGCTGCATTTATAAAATAACTTCATATTTGATCCGAAAAAATTCGAAAATTCCATTTTTCTCGAATATTTTAAACTCATAACAAGACTGTTTCTACTGTATCCGACATTGGTAATTTACCTCTTTCAATTTTGCTAAACAAAAATTGAATGGAATCTATCCCGAAATAATATGCTGCTTGTGGATTATGATTAATGGAATAGATCTTTTAACAAACGCGTATATTTCAGGGCGTGGTTTGGACACGTGAAACGCTATTTGAATATTTATTAGATCCGAAAAAATATATTCCGGGAACGAAGATGGTATTTGCAGGCCTAAAGAAACCTCAAGAACGTGCTGATTTGATCAAATTTATAGAAGAAGAATCTGCGAAATAATTAGGCAGTTCCATTTTAATTATAGGGTTGCGATAGCTGCACTTTGTCTTTATTGTTTGTTCAGCTCGGTTGAATCCCATTATGTAGCACTGGCCTTTTTAAAAAAAAAAAAATCTTGTCGAAAATGTGGAATTATTTTACATTGAACTCTCATTTTCTCTTAGCGACATTCGCTGTCATTTGAATAAAATACACTGTGTATGCAGAGTTAATCGAGGTGCCTTTTATGTTAACTTTTTTTATTAGTGGTTTGAGCTTGAGATATCAAGTCTTGTTTCGCATTATTGAATGTTTTGGTACGCCATGTACATTATATAGAAGTTCTCTCTTGTATTAACGATAGTGTAGCAGGAGTAAACAATGACGAAAATTGCGCAATAAAATTTTTTTTAATATCCAATTCAAAGACTTCCTGATACAACATAAACCAGTATTATCCTTTGCTTTTTTTATATCAGTTAAGAAAATCTTTAGAAACTTTTGACGATTGAGATTTTTTTCACTTTTGTAAACTGTTGATTTCGGTGCTTCGAAACACTGGCCTGTGATGTAACTATATGTGATTTATGCATTATGCATTGCTGGGGTTTGCTATATATTACGATGTCTTCCTGCGTTTTAAATTGGCCTTGAGGTAATGTGGAAGGGAGCAAATTTTAATTCTTTTTTATGGTGGAAACGAAAAATTCTATTGAAAAACTTGAAGGCGTGAATTTCTGCATCTTATTACGTCATTTATTGTGTTTTGAAATTGTTGAAGAACAAGAGACAAACAATGGTCTGGTTGATCGATTAGGAGTTAGAGGTGAAAAGGTCAGTAACGGTAATGAAGCTTCAGTATATTGATGAGCAAAAATTGTCCCTAATATCTTCTACTCTCTTTTAAAACAGAAAAAGTCTTTTTTGTTCTCTTTTTATCTTTATATATTTCCCTACATGCTACAATGGCCACCAGTCCATTTTCTAAACAATACACGATAGTATTGCATAATATTGCATTGATAATATTCGTTCAGTTTTTGGTATAATTATTGCACAAAAGTCACTCGAATTTGTTTTCGACTTGTATTTCAAGGTTACAAACTTTTGCACACTCTCAGTTCACATGAGTATGGAATTTAAAAATGTTTCGAAAAGTTTTCGGTTCTAATTTTGTATATTTGTTCGTTTTATTAACCACTTCGGTGTGATATCACTAAGTGTTGAATTGATATATTCTAGAAGATTTCACTATGTTAGTTGTTAATGACTTTTAGTCACGTATGATTTTAAAAAGTTTCTTTCAATTTTCGCATCTTATTTTTTTGTTGATATTCAAATTTGTCATAGTGTTGTATTAACATTTAATAGTACTTTGGTTACATATATGATTAATTAATACTTTGGTTACATATATGATTACAGTGACAAGAAGCGAGTTTATTGACTGTGATTATGCTGACTGAAGTTTGATTTAGGAGCAGGCATGAAAATACGAAACAGTCTGTGTTTTTTGAAAAATTAATTCAGTTGATTGTTACGAGTATTAAATTAAAAAAAAAAATAATAATACAGCAAATGCACGATATTTGTTTAATTGATAATTGATAGAACTTAATCAACAACTAATGTTGAAGTTATTCTGTCAAGTTTATTTATTAGAGTTATTATTATCACTGATGATATCAATTGTTAAATTGTAGTAGTCAAGGATTTATTTTAATTGAAAATATTGATTTTAAATTTAATTTGAATGAAATTTTTTTTAGAAATCCGCTTTGATTGCAAATTTTAATTTGAAATTTATTTTTATTGGTTATTATTATTACCACCGTTTTTTCCTGAAGGGTTTTCAAGAATTGGGAAAAGCAAAATCATGATGATACAATTACAAACAAAAGAAAGACATTTTTAAGCTCATTTTTAAACTTTACAAGTTTTTAATCTCAAACAATTTAAATACAAATTATAATAATATGTTAGTAGTGAAATATTAGAAAAAATAAATAAATAAATGATAAATAAAAATGTTTTAAATTAAACTTGAAATACGCCACGGTTGGTACTCATTTATTTCACAAGTTTCACTGCCGCTCAGCAAGCTGATATGCAGGTAGTGCAGGTGTTGTCAGTTGTATGCATTCTTGCATTTGTCCTTTGTTGGACGGTTCGGTGTGACTAACGCAAGAATCGTGACAGTTAATTTGGGATAGGGAAATTTCAGTTTTTTCTTGGTTACCATGAAATGCCAATATATGTTGCATGTAAGTGTTTATATGTGTATGTGTATGGATCGATAGCTAATTAATATTAGTTATGACCAGGCAGTATGATTTTAGGGAGAGAAAAGATGCAAGGTATAACGAGAAGTGCTAGAAAGGTGATAAGGAAAGTTAGAAGTTACAAAATTCATCATCATTCCTACTTCATACTTGACCTTTAACATTCTACTAGAAAAAGTATTTTTGTCGTATAAGCGTAGACAAAATAGAAAGACTGAAAATCATAACATTAGAATTCGCAGTACACATATTGCACGTTCATGGCTACTTGCTGCATGACCTATATTATTGTAGTCATACTTTGACTTCAGGCTAATGTAGTGATTAAAAACGTTTGTTGACAGTGAGAGGTTTTACAAGTAAAAGTTGTGAGCTGATCGAATAATTTGAAATTATTCGAATGATCAAACAATAATAAAATAAATACTGCAGAAAAGAGGAAAAGTTTGGTACTCGTTAGTTTGCAATAACTTCTAAATTAGTTAATCTAGGCTATTCATTATTTTATTTAAATAGCTGTTCACATTATCCTAATATATGTTATTTCATATGATAGTAATTTATTTGAAACGTATTCGTTTACAGAGGCAGAGAGTGTAGTGGTGTGTAGATGTCATCAAGACGTGGAGAATATGGCTACCGAGATGGATCGGTACAGTTTCCACGACGTTCCTCTCGAGAGAGGCAAGCGATTTATATGAGCTTGGATGAAAATTTCCTTCTCAGTAATTCCACGGGGGATTCACTGTTACGCTCTCTGGTCGATCGAGCCAATAGATCGCGAAATCCAGTATGTTTTAGTTTACTTATTTGTATTAAGTTTACATTAGTTCAAGAGGCCTCATGGTGAGGTAAAATTGATGAATGCCTTCGTTTCCTTTTCCAGAAGAGTATCATATTGCATGGCAACTTGCTTGGGAAATATTGCAAGCGAGTTTCTTTCTTTGAAAAAATGATGTGAGAAAAAATGAGAAAAAAGCCGCTTATATTTCTTTTTTTTTTTTTTTTTTGCTAAAAGAAAAGAAAGGATGTGAGATTCCAAGTCGTATTTGCTATTTACCTTTGTTCTGGTAGTTGTTTCATGATACGTGAGAAAAAAAAGCAAAAAAAAGCAGATTGTGTGATTGATTCATGTCAGCGAGTGAAGAACTAGTTATTTTAAAAATTAGTTGGACAAGTCATTTACTGCTTTCAGATAAATAGTTCATATATGCTACCTCATACCTTCCGCTATTCGACTAGATCAAAAGACAGGATCTATGTTGATACATACGGTGTTCCGACGAATGGACAGAGTGATGTTGATGATGATTTCGAAGATTGTATGATGCATTCAAAAATCCGGAAGAAATCGAGGTTTTGTAGCCTCCTCTGCATGGGTTTTCTTAGTAGTGGATTCAATATAATAATGAGTTATTAAGTACAGGAGGTGTGGGAAATGAGCTGTTTTCGAAGAGAGATGTCTTGATAACTTCTTTGTTGCTGAATTACCATGCAAGGATATTAAATATTGGAGATATTCGTCACACTACATAGCTATTCCAGTTTTATTGTCTTCAGCAATGTTGCTTGCATCGCATGCATACGCGATGTATGCTCTGAGCGTTCCATATTACAAATTACTTGACATTACAAAACTAAATAAAATTTATGGTTTAAATCACTTTGCTTCATTTTCCTGCTAAAATTATAATTTTTATTGTCTTTTATTTGTTAAGTTTCGGATTTCCTTAGCTACCGAAGCACTCAAGTGATTCAAATTTTCACTGTTTAGATGGAAATTATGTGTGTGGGCTTAGTTACTGATATGTTCAGTTTAGGAAGAGAACTGTGAGTCAAGGAAATTTGTCTTGTAACAGTTCTGGTATTAGGAACATAGAATTTGGTTTTTCAAGGCAACATTGAGTAACATACTTACTGCCTGCATTTAAAGATGAAGTAGAACAGTATTTTAGAATTAGAAAATCCTTTAAAAGTAATGGCTTTCAATAAACTTATATCGTAGGTCGAAACTGTCGTCTCCAGTTGATGACGAAGTTTAGATTCAGCTGTAGAAGATGAATGCTTTCAATAAACTTATATTGCAGGTCGAAACCGTCATCTCCAGTTGATGACGAAGTTAACTACCCGGCTTCAGATTCAGCAGCAGAAGATTCACGCCCTGTACTGGCAAATTCATTAGCTGCATCTGATACTAAACAGGAAATTGTAGAGCCAAATATGTATGAAGGCGTGAAACAGCGACGTCAGGCAAAGAAGCAGGCTACACTTGTTGCTCAAAAAAAGGCCAAAAATGCTGTGGCATGCAAGTATGTTGAAATATATTTGTTGTTTTTATGATTTCTTAAATTCGCTTTTACAGCTTCAGATTAGGAGTGGTAGAGAGGCTGGCTCTTGATGATACAAGTAAAGCACTTATTTATCCAATACGATTGCATTATATGAAACTATCTGATAGTAAAGGATTACAATTATTACAATATTTATAAGTGAAATCACAGTAAAATTCGTCGCTGTTTACAGGATTCTTTGATTTCTTTGAATTATTTCTTAATAGTATCGAGTGAAACATAACAGTGGATTTCATTAAGTTTTTTCGTTCACTATTATATTAGTTCATTAGTTTCTATTGCAGTTCACTTCGTAGGCGACAGCCTAAAAAAGAAGATTCAGAAGGTGGTGACGAAGATCGAACGAATGATGCTCCAGAAGTCAGTTCATATTTCTTCTTTTCCTTTT